ATCTGCAGCTTTTGCTAATATTTCTGAGAAACACCTCACGAATCTAGCCTTCTTGGGGGTGGGAGGTGCATCTCACAGTTTATATGTTCTTATAACTAGTTTGTTTCTAACCATTTGTACCAGCAATTTTTAATTGGTACCAGAAAAGGAAGGCAAAAATCTCTAAATTCTTTGAAAAATAATGGTCCTACCTTATTCTTGTAGGCTATGTCATAGGCCAACACTGAGAATGTCTGTCCTCAACTTCCCTTTAAAATCCTTAAGTATCTAGTTTCACTGAACAACTTTCAATAAGCAGTTATTTCATGCCAGGCATGGTACTAGGCCCCAGGAACATAAACCAGAATACTAAACTACCTCTTTGCTTCAAGAAGTCATAGTCTTGTCAAAGAGATGGACTTGTAGATAAGCAAGTACAAAACAGTGATAGCTGGTAATATAGATGTAAGGACAGTATGTTATGGGACCATAACAAAGAAATAACTAATTCATATTCTGAGAAAAAAAGTGATAGACTTCCAAAACTGACCTCTACCTTGACTGTGGTGAGAACAGATTAGTCTATTGTTTGGAGAGATGAACCTTGAGAAATAGAAGGAAAAGTGGGAGAAGGACCAGTGGCAAACAAGAAGGATATGTTAGGAAGATGAGACATGTAAGAAGTCCAAGATGATTATTCAAGGTCAGGAAGGCAATGCAAGAGTTGAAGCTAAAGGGGTGAACAGAAGCCTCACATGTTAGGAGGAGTTTGGAGTTCCTCTTGGAAGCTAGAAAAGCCCTTATTATACTCAAATGTTTTAAGCATAATACTATCAGATTTGGATTTCTGGTCATTACTCGGCCTAGAGTAAAGCATGCAATGAAAGGGCCAAGACTGAAGCAGGAAGATCATTTGTAAAGCAGTCACAATCAATCATGAAAGAGTGATGATATGTCTTGAAGCAAAAGTTTATTACATTTGGTGGTTAACACTATAGAGGATAAAGAGAGCAGGGGAAGACAATGCATAGATTTATGGTTTGTCTCATTGTGCTTTGCTCTGGTGCAGCAAGGCTGCTTAGTAGGAATTTTCCAAAAGTCTAACCTGGGGAATGAAAAAAATCTATGTTTTGAAGAGGCCACTCAGAGATTAAATAAGAAACAGAGCTACAAACAGACTTGATGGAAACAATCAAGTCTGTTTAGGCTATTAAAAAGGTCTAAAATTCATAAACAAAGAAAATTAAGGTAAATGTAAGATATACATCGGTTTTGAAGATATTTACAAGTACTGAAAGAGCTTGGCCTGGAGGAAATCAGTACATCAGAATAAGCCAGAAAGACCTCTATGGCCAAATAAAAATTCTATCAAGGACAACAAATATTGTGATTTATTTTCCTGAGACTGATCTTCAGTAGAAAAAGCTTTGTCTCTGTTCTCTCTTCATGGTTGAAGAATGATTTGTAGTCACATATTGAGATGGAACTTTAATTTCAGTACTAGAAAGGAAAAGAGATCTGTGTGCCAAAATGGTGTCAGGGGGAAAAAAAACAAAATGTATTGCTTTTATCTGTTAAGGAAATAGCTATCACCAGTCACCAGTAAAGGTCACAGGGAGTGTTATTGGAGAACACGTTCCCTTCATTTGCTGTGATCTATGTGTTTAAGATATGAGACTGGCCTTGGTCAAAGTCAACCAAGAAGGTTAGAAAGGGTATTGAATTGTGCTTTTCTTGGTTTCAAACACACATTAAGTATTTAGAAATGTCAACATTTATTATTTTCCATGATCATTATCATAGAATGAGAAGTGTGGTTAGCATCTAACATTATAGAAGAGAGAAAAAAAAGACAATTGAAGTATGAAGAAGAAGGGGAAGAGACAGATTCCTACCTCTTAGTGGTTTATAGCCCACAGGTCAAACTATGTCCATCACCTCTTTTTGTAAATATTCTTTTGTCAGAACATGCCCATGTATATTTATTTATACACTGTGCATTAATTTCTCTTAAAATATATTTTATTTTTTATGCTATTAAAATTGTCCTAGTTTTCTCCCCCTCTGCCCTGTAGCCCCCCTCTAACCACCATTTCCACACCTTAGTTTGTGTCCATGGGTCATACATATAAGTTGTTTAGCTTCTCTATTTCCCATACTATTCTTAATTTGCCCCTATTTTGTACCTACCATTTATGCTTCTTATTCCCTGTATCTTTTCCCCCATTCTCCTCCCCACCACTGATAGCCCTTCATGTGATCTCTATTCCTGTGAATCCATTCCTGTTCTAGTTGTTGCTGGGTCCCTGGGTCTTTCTCTGTCCCCTCATCTCATTCCATTCCAGATCACCTTATCCTCTACCCACCCTATCATTTAAGCCACACTCTTTCCTTAGTGTTTCTAATAATTATCAAGGATTGGTTAAGCCTTAAGGGTGGGATGATGTGAGAGCAACTTTGCCCACAAGTACCCCCTTCCACCACGGATGAAAATAATACTGCCAAGACATGATCTGCTTGGGGAGGAAAGGTAGTCAATCTCTCACAGGAGAAGGACCAAGAACCTCTTCTTCAATGGCTTTTATTGGGTTCATTTTGCACAAGCATACAGGTAAGGATCAAACAATAGATAGTATTCAAAGAACTATGAGGGCTTATTCTCAGTCAAGGTCAGATAGCTAAAGAGCCATAAAACTTTGAGGAACAAACTTGTTGCTAGGCCCCTTATCATTTGAATGAGAGCATTTTAAACAAAGCAGGTTTTGCAGGATTTTACATATTCTTTCTTAGGCTTGATCACCCGGAACCTTCTCTAGCCCGCAAAGAGCTACACCGCCTTCCCAGTCACAGGTTTTTAGGCTTAAGTGGACTACAGCCAAAAAGCACTTCTCCTAGACAGAAATGGGGACACAGGCTATGTCAGAATAGCTGGGGGGTGAGGGTTCATCACCCCCTCTTTGCTGCAGCCCCCTCGAGTCCTTCCTTGAGGGCCTCCCAAGTGATAGTAGTGTATGGCTTAGGTTGACCCTCCTCTGAGGGGTATTACCCACCACTGACTAACCAACCAAGCATTGGGGGCAGAGATGGATGAAGCAGAAGCAGTGCTGCCAGAGATAAGCTTTGTCTTCTTAGTGGCTCAAATTCCGGAGGTTGCTCACTCAGCCTTAGCCATGAGGGGCAGTTACAACTCCTGAAACCAGGAAGAGCAGTTCCCAACAGGATAACAATGTCTTTGTGCATAGCACCTAATGTTCATAATTATAATCAAAATAATAATAATGAAAGTATAGAGGGTTTGTTGTTTATATCTCAATAACACATTAAAAATCATATAAGAAAGCAACTACTTTTTTATCTCAAAAAATAGTATGTCTTGGCCATGAAAATAGAGTTTCTAAATTTCCTGTGAATAACCAGGAAGAAGAGATGATTCCACATGTTATAGAATCTCTAAACTCATCCTGTACCTCCTGGAATTGCCAAACAGCAATATCATTTCCTCACTTTTGCCCCCTGAAATTGTTATGCTCAAAAAATGACTTACATGACTCTTTTTTCCCCTTAATAATAACATAGGGAAAAAAGCATAGAAACTGATTTATTTTTACAAAGTTCCAAAGGACAATGATCACCATATTTTACTATAATTAGCCTATTAACAATTTATCTAAACTAAAAAGAGCAAAGGAAAAAATGCAAAATTAACTTCCCAAATCCAACTAGGCCTGACATTCCGGGCATAGTTCCTTCGTAGCTGAGAACAAGTTGAACCATGATGGGCTCTCCACAGGCTTTCTCCCTCAGGAGAGTGTTCAGCACCAGCCCAGAGCCTAAATGTGCACAACATACATCAGTGCTGTCCCCAGGTACCAGTAGCAAGATTCTGAGCATGACAGAGTTGGTTGTTCCATTCACCTTTCTCTAAAGTTTATATTTCCTGATAGATTTCTCATGTGTTTTATTGTTTCAGAACCAATATCTCCTTTTAAATAAAATTTTACTTTATCACAGTTGTCCGAATTTTTTCCTCTTTACCCTCCTTCGCCTAGCCTAACTCCCACCCCCACAGTCATTCCCCACCCTGTTGTTCTTGTCCATAGGCTGTTCATACATGTCCCTTGACTAGTTCCTTCCCCTTCTTTCCACCCTCCTCCCCCAGCCCCTCTGGTCATTGTCAGTCTGTTCCATGTTTTCATGCCTCTGGTTCTATTTTGCTTGTTAGTTTATTCTGTTCATTAGTTTTTTCCTATAGGTGAGATCATATGGTATTTGTCTTTCAATGACTGGCTTATTTCTCATGTGCTTTAGCTCATGGACTAGTTTAGTCCAGCCCCATGTAGCTATTGAGCACTTGAAATGTGACTGGTCCAAACTGAGATGTGCTGGAAGTACAAAATACATATCAATATCAAATATTTAGTTAAAAATTTGATATTGATAATATTTTGAAATAATGCTTTTAATATATTGGGTTAGATAAAATATATTTTTAAATTAATTTTACCCATAGTGTTTTAACTGTGAGAAAATTTGAAATTACATACATGACTCATACTTATATTGGCAGTACTGCCTAGAGACTTACACACACTGGGAACTCTCATTTCCTTAGTCTTCTCCCAGACCATAAAACCAAGGTCCCGAAAAAGATATTGTCAAGAGGCAAAATGATTAGATGTGAGAAATTACTGGTTTGTGTCATTGGATGGGGCTTATGTAACTGAGAGGTTAGTTATACTATTCACAAAAACAGAGATGCTAGACTGAGGAGTTGCTAAGGTGACAGATAGTGAAGGTGAAGTTGATTTGTAGCTGGTTGGCTTTATGTAGCTGTTGACTGTCTGGGACCCCATGTCTCTCTACCTCTGTCCCCACTTATGACAACAACTTGAATAGGAAAAAAGTGAGGAATTTCTGTCCACCAGTGGGATTAGCAAAACAAAAGGGTAGCATTTATTAAACTTTTATAAAAAAAACTAATTCATATTAGTCAGACAGTGGCAAAGAAATTTCAGAAAGGGTGTTTTGCTGGGTTTACGTTTATTGAACAATAATGGCAGGAACAATATCGTGATTGGGAGGCTGCAGAGCACAGACTGGGTGGGGATGCCTCTTGTGCTCTCTGTTCACAGAATATAGGAGGAAAAAGATGGAGAAGACTGAAAGTCAGTGAGTCCATTCCCTCAACAGCTCTCTATTGTTTTCTATAGTGAATACGATGAGCTCTGAAGAATTCTCTGTATATACAGATGGTAAAGGTAGGCAGTCCAGAATTGGAACATGTATCTTCCCTCATGGCTTTCACCAATACTCACATCATTTGTCCTAGAAGAGAAGATGATAGGTTAGATGGTAGAAATTCAGAGACATTGTACAAATGTGTACTACACAATTATAGCTGCACCATAGGGAAAGAGATCCATAGATTCCTGTACTCTGCCAAGAGCTCACAATTTAAAATCACTTTCACATTCAATCAATTGAGGCAATAAGTCTTTATGGAGCACCTAGTACATACTACCTTTTGAGGTAGATACAAAAAATGAACTCTGTTCTCGATTACATGTGGCCTTCATACAGAGAGATATGTATTATGAACATCATTTCACAGAGGTGGAAACTGAGCTTCAGAGAGAGTTAATGATGTGCCACGGTCTCACTTTTGGTCAGGACTTAAATCCCATTCCTCTACCACTAATGCTTTACACTTCTAGTTTGTCTTAAGCCATAAGAATATAAGCACCTGTCTTCCTTGCCTGACTCTTTCAATATTCATATACTATTTAAATCAACATTTAAAACATTAAAGCAACACAATTTTTTAAAAGGGGGTAAGGGCCTCAGCAAGTTTCCTTCCATATAACTACACACTATCACCCAGAGTCCTAGCAACAGTGTCATTGCAAATTCAAATCTCCATTTCAGCTTTCATGCTGAAATAAACTTGTGAGGTTTTCTCTGGTTTGAGAATGATAAGCTATGGCCTTATGTTAGAGTCTTGAAAATTTTTGTCACTGGATTGAGAATTGCCAGTTATTGGGTCTCACAAAGCAGTATTGGCAAGATAGCAATTTTCTGCCAAAGTAGCTAATCTTTATTAAATCGAGGTCACTCCTTCTCCAGAGCCCTGGGTTTTCAGAGACTCTTGACCCCTAAGGAATGGTGGCAGAACATAAGAAATCAAGTCAGAAATCTGCATTGACCCAAGATATAACACTGAGTAACTGATAAGTTGCAGGATTTCTTCCAGGGTGATTTTCTGTAAAATAGGAAAGGTACTGATCCCTGCCCTACTTACAGGACTATTGTGAGGATGCAAAAGAAAAAGCACATGAAACTCTAAAGGGTTATATTAATCTTAGCAGTTAGTGTATAATAAGACCTTCTTAGATAGTAAGCAAGAGTATGGGTTCCAGGATCCTCAATCTATTTTCCCAGGCAAGTTGTGACTTCTTAGCCTTTTATTCTTTTCATGGGAGTCCAGACTCTTTTAGGGAATCTTCTATCTGGGAAAATGGTCAAGCAATAGATTCCAACCTCCAGCATATGAATCCATAATAGTTATTGGAGCAATTCTGAGCCATGACCTACCTGTACCACCTTGGTGATTCCAAAATCACAGCACTGAATCAGACAGAGGGAACTGAAACTGTGCCCAGGACACCTTTTGTTCTAATGACATATTCCATCAGCTAACATCATATATAATTCCTATAGTTAATAATGCCTGTTACATAATTCTAGTGGAAATAAAGCACCCAAATATAAAAGGAAGGAACTCCCTGACAAACCTTCTGTGCTTAGCCCTGGCAAGGTTCTTCATTATTTGAATAAATACATATTCTCAGTATTATCCTATGGCAAATTCCTCCTAAAGCCTCACAACTTTCGTCAAGTTGCCTAAATAAAATTGTACCAAGGTGTGCTCTAAGATGTGGTCTATAGGACTTGTATAAAAGTTATTTTGACCTTCCTGTCCTATTATTTATGTGCCCAGGTGTGTTTGTGAGATGAGGGGACAGTATGTTCTGTCAGTAAAATGATGGGCAAACCACTAACAGTTTATATGTAATAAGATAGCAAACACAACGCAGGGACTAGAGCAAAAATTTAAACCCTCTCTATGAACATGTAAAGACCCAGGGTAGAGAGATGACTTTGTCAAGGCCACATTAGAAAGAAATGAAGATCTCCTGATTTCATCCCATCTCTGCCTGTTCCACCTGTCCTCCAGCTGCTAGTGTGAAACCAAACACAGCTGGCTTATAGCTCCTGGTTTTCTGGCTTCCTGTAACAAGGCTCATTGAATAGTTCTTTTGAAGATGCTCTTTCAAGTATTACTTAAGATCCTCAAACTTGGCAGAATAGTTTCCAATTGTATTATTGCCAAAGCTTTTTGTGGTAGTAGAAGGAAGCAAAATAATAATTTAGATAATAGTATATAATTATTTATTATATTAATGAAATATTGTTCGCTTTAATTAAATATAAACATATTTGTGACTATAAAATATAAATTTATTAAAATAGAATTCATTAAAATTATTAAAAATAAGCACTGTGCCAGGGTCCATTTCTCTAAGTTCATACTTTTGCCTCTTAAAAATAATAATGATAATATTAATACATGCCATTAATTTTTAGACATTGTGCAAAGCACTTAGAAGCCAGGATTTCTTGAATACTTTCGATAACTCAGTAAGGCCTTTAGCTTAGATAGTGATGTGATTTGCCAAAGGTCTCCCATATGAAGAATATCAAAAACTGGAATTTGAACCCATATTTATGTGATAACAAAAGATTTTCTTTTATTTGAAAATTCCTAGTTTTTTTCCCCCAAGTTACATATCATCTTGCTAAAGGAAGAGACTCCTCATCACCAGGGAGACTGTCAAACTCAGCAACATGTGTCAAAATGTCCCTGTGGGGATTTAAACAAAAAGGCCAACTTTTCATTTTGGAAGGTCGATTCATATAATGTAAAATGTAAGAATATGAGGGCTAAACAGAAATAGTTTAAATCTAGTTCAGTTGCTATCTAACCTCTCTTGCTCTCTGTCTCATTCTTTATTGTAGAGCACAGAAAAGAACACATACTCAGTGAAATTATGTTAGGGACAGTTACTAAAAAATCTATTAAGGATCCCAGTAGACACTTTAAAAATGCTAATTACTATATTATTCTTCCCACATATTTCAGTAATTACTTAATTATCTTCACCAACCAGTTCGAACGGTGCAATCAGGGACTCCAATGTACTTACAGATGCTGGCGTGCTGAGAGGTGTTGTTTCTGGGATTCTATTCTCCTCACACCGCCCCTGGCTGCGTATGCGTGTATTAGTTTGGCGTATTCTAAAACAGAACAGAGTAATTTCCAAAGACAGGAAAAATTTTTAAAAAGGCTGATGAGGGTGATATTTGGGCATTAAGCCAGAACTGACATTAGGGGTAGGGCATGGGACCTGCATTCAACTTGTTTTCTAGTAGGCATCATCCATGGTTGATGATCTAACTCCAGGGTTGTTTCCCAGTCTTGGATCTATTCTGTCACATTTCATTCACCTCTATGCTTACAGAATTATTGAATGTTAGAAATAAATTTGTAGATCATCTAGTCCACAGGTGGCAAACTCAGGGCCTGTGGGCCAAATCCCACCTGCCACCTTGTTTTATCTGGCCTGGCACCTTGTTTCTACCTGGTGTCAGTGCCAAACTTTCACTTAACTGTTAAGGAGTAATTGCATTTATACAGTCCTAAAATTGCATTCAGCCCTTTGAAGGCAACTGTGAGGCTGATGTGGCCCCCAGCGAAAATGAGTTTGACATCCTTGATTTAATCCAAAAGCCATTATTTTACAGGTGAGGAAATGGGGTCCCAGAAAAAAATTGGACTTTGAGTTTCTATAATGTGACTTAGGGATTATAAAATAAATTTTATATAAACACATTTATATAAACCTAAAATATATATAGAATGTAGAATGCATATATAGGTATATTTCATAACAAGACACAACATGTAGTCTGAATTTTATAATTGGAAAGACTCAAAGGGTATGACTTTTAATGCCTCTTACTTCAGAAATATTATATATTAAACATCTGCTTGTTTGACTCCAGTGATGAGAAACTCACTGTTTAATGAGGCAGTTCACTTGTCTTTGGGTATCGCTCAAGTTGAAATAGTTTCCCTACAGCTTCCTCTAAATCAGAAGAAACCAGTGCTGTTTCCTTTTGCCTGGGATAGCCTGAGTTTTCTGTACATATTATATACTCCTTGTTTCTTCATCATTAGATAAACAATCCATCCAGGTGTATGCTTTTATTAATATTTTCATCATTGAGATTTCTTACTCTAAAGTTCTCTTGAAGTAGATGTTCATTGTTATGGGTTTATATAGTTAGTAGAATGCTTGAAGAGCATTGGATAGCCTTTACAATAAAGAGAAGTTGAAGGGTTTCTGGGCTAAAGATGAGGCATTATATGATAAGAAACTGCTGAATGGTTGCACTCTTTCTTTAAATAGGGATTTCTTAATACTTAAAACTCCATAAGATCTATGGATGGACTTCAAGAGATGAATGAATGTGTCCATAGATATAATGCATCTGAATTGTTAATGTCACATCTTTTCTTTTCTAGAAAGACGTGACTTTCTTCATATTGTCAAAGGAATCTTTGACTCTCAATTTTTTTAAGGAACTCCTGGCCTTGTATACAACAGCAATATAGTGGAAGGAAAGTAAAACTGTATTATCCCCAAAGCAACAAGATTAAAATCCTGTCTCATCTACTTCCTAGGCTTTGTGACTTTAAAAAAATTACTTGCACTCTCTGAACCTCAGATTCACCTTCTGTTCAATGAAGGCAACAGCACTCCATGGCAGGGAGTGAGGATTCAGTGTGGGGTGAGTGTGAAAGTGCCTGGCCTACCAACATGATGTGAGAACACATAAAGCTCTCATGTTCAGATTTTATTCTAAGTATGTGAACTTAGAATACACGTAGAGTGGCTATTTTTCTTTTATGAGTTATTCGACTTAAAAGGAAATAAATGTAAATTAAAATATTTTTCCAGGTTTTAAAAGCAGGATATCAGGTCCATCCTGGCATTTGGGAATGTGCTTACAGTGGTCTATGAAAGATGGAATGTACATAGATTACCATGTAAATATGAGGTGGGATGAGGCAAAAACGTTAAGATTTGCCGTCATGTTCTCATTTAAAGCCAGTCAAATAGAGGCTGGGAAGAGGTGAGGAATGTGACTGGAGGTGAGAGTAAAATAGCACTTGAGCAGAAAAACAACTATAAAGCTACCACCAATAGCAAAAGTCTTAAAATGAATCCTTTGTATTTAATTTAAAAGAATAATTCTTCTTAATAACCCTGGGAAACCAGTTGACTCAGAGAACTGTCTCCACTTCTCTAAAGAAGAAACTGAGTCTCAGAATGATTAGATAATAGACCCATCAATGCCCAGATATTAACAGATCTGAGAGCAGACACCAGGTCTGCCACACTTGCTCCAGTGTGCTTTTTTATGCATGAGACCACTTTCTGCTTCAAGAAGACTAAGGGAGGCTGGGAAATCTGTGACTATCAGGTAGTGATAAGGTCCAAGGTCCATTAGTGATTTTTGACTGGGCTGAATCTATATAGCAATGATTCTCAACTTTTTTCTGTTAGTCAAAGGATGGAAGATGTTCAGACTTCCATGAGTGTAGTGGGCTTACAGAGATTTTCTCTAATTGCCATAATCCCATCACTTTATCTTTTCTCTTCCATCTAGTAATATATATAGGCAATTTCATTAAAGGGATAACATCAAATATCTTCTATATTATATGATGATAATGATCTCAAATTTTACATTTTGAACTGCTATGATTAGTAAACTGGTTGCAGCACACCTCAAATTGCTATCAGTTCACAACTATGGACAAATACTGTCTTCAAGAGCCTTTACACTGGAATATATGATGGTGGGATTTGTATACTTACAGGTTTTCATGACAGAGCATGCATGGATTGTTGTATGTCTGACCATCATCACCACACACAGGCTGCAAATTCTTTGGGCAAAGGTAACCCATCTTGGGCACTATTCGGTAATTGTGGCAGATCTCAGCATTCTAAACAAGCAAAACACAAGTCAGGTCACTATGTGGCACTGCAGAGGGAAGAACTAGGGGAAATCCTCCTGATTTCCTCCATCTCACTTGAATAACTGATTAGTAAAGAAATCGGAGACTGGGCGGGGGGGGGGGAGAAAAAAAATGTACTTGAAAAGTAACTAAATAAAATTTAAAAAAAAAATTAAAATAAAAAAAAAAGAAATCGTCATGAAGATCAAACTCACATATTTCTATCTCAGACTTGGCTTCTTTATAGTAGGGAAAATAAGTAGCTAACCAAGAAACAAAGAAGAACAAAGCCATAATAAAGCAGAAATTCTACATGATATTGGGCATAGAAAAACTGAGATATGCCCATAGGAAGATTAGGATGATAATCATGCAAAAAATAATACCATTTTTCTTAAATAAGGGCATCGGTTATATGCAATCTGAAAAGGAAAGACTCAGAGGTAAATACTAGCTAACTGCATGGGCCATTCAGTCCTAGTTCTGCCACTAAACTAGAGAAATGATTAACCTAACTCCTCTGAGCCTTAGTTTCTCATCTGAGAAGCGTGAATAATAATAGCTCTCATCTCATGTTGGTGTTTTAGGGGATTAAATCCAACAGTGCATTTAAATGCATGCATAATGCCATTTGGCATACACTAAGGGCTCAGTATATGTTTTCAGTATGTTTCCCAATATAAAACAATTCTTTTATGTAGAGGAGGGAATATAACTTGTTTTTTTGTAGTCTTTTAGAAGTGTGATTTCAGTAATAACTTTATTAACTCAAGAAAAATCAGAACAAAGGAAAAAAAGACAGAAAAACTTAAGAAATAGAATTATAGAAGACTTAAATACAATTATGTTAGTAATTACATTAAAGAATAAGAAGACCAAGTACTCCAGTTAAAGAGCAGAGATTATCAGACTAGAAAGATAAAAAGACTCAACTATATATTGTTTATAAAAAGTATATTTTAAATATGTCTTTCTATTTCAACCAATAGATTGAAATTAAAAGAATAGAAAATATATACATACAAACATTCATCATACAGAAGCTACATATATATCTATATTAATACCAGTTAAATGGAATTTAGGACAAAAATTATTAGCAGAGATAAAGAAGAGAATTTTTTAAAGATTTTTATTTATTTATCTCTAGAGTGGAAGGGAAGGAGAGAGAAGGAGAGAAATATCAATGTATGGTTGCCTCTCATGTGTCCCCTGCTGGGAACTGGCCTGCAACCCAGGCATGTGCCCTAACTGGGAATTGAACCTCGATACTTTGGTTCACAGGCCCGCACTCAATCCACTGAGCTACACCAGCCAGGGCAGAAGAGAATTTCTTATGATAAAATAGGAGATTCATGAATAACAATCCCAAACATTCACATATTTAAAGTATATTTTCAAAATATACAAGGCAAAAATTGACTACCTGAAAGTAGACATAAGCAACTTTATAAACATGAATATAAACATTAAATCTTTCAGTAACTGATAGTACAGACAAAAAAAGGATATAGAATATTTGAAAAACAAAATTACACAGTTTGACTTAAATGAGATTTATGAACCTCTATCTAAAAATTGTAAACTACATATTCTTTTTAAGTACATATTAAATTATTACCAAATAAACCTTATTCTGGGCCATTAAGCAAGTGTCAATAAGTTTCAAAGAATTAAAGTCATATAATATAATTTTTATGATCACCGTGGGATAATTCTAGTAATAAATATGATACTGATAAGGTTCCTAGGTCTTCAGAAATTAAGCAACACACTACTGAATTACTTATGACTCAAAGTAATCAGAATTCAGAAATGCTTTGAACTGAATAGTAATGAAAGTTTAAGCTGTCAAATTGCACTAATTAATACAGTAATTTGAGGGAAAGTTATAATGATAGAATTAAAACAGAATAAAGTTTTAAACAATGATCTAAATTTTCTTCTCATAAGCTAGAAAATTAAGCTCAAAGAAAATAGAAAAAACTAATTAATCAAGAGGAAGAGTTTATGAAATAGAAAACAGAAGAAAGTCAAATGTTAATTTTTAAAAAGATTAGTAAATTAACAAACCATTTGCAAAATATTACCATGTTAAGTATAAAAAGGAATATCACTATATAAATATAGGTATTAAAAGAATAATGTGGCAATGTTATGAATAATTACATGCCAATAAATATGACCAGAGATGAAATTAAGAAGTTCTGTGACAACCACTTTCTGAAACAAACACAGAGAAGAAATAGGACATTTCATAGTATCGACTGTGTTGACATTCCTTTCAGGAACAAAAAACTTCCTATGAAGTTTTTGTTTTCAATAAATAATTCAAACATTGACATGGAATCCTTTTTGGATTATATGAGTTCCAAATTGATAGAGATATGAAGGAGAATTTAGAGAAGTACCTTCTATGAGTCACTGACAAAGGCAGGACCAGACCATGCATGTTGTTAATATTTTTTAGGTATCTGCTGCTACAAAGTTCAAAATTACTAGGATAAAGCCTTACAAAGAAGCAACATGCACAGGATGCTTCTCTTTTTCTTACATACTTCATCAACTCTGAATGCATTCTTCACCTTCAAAACGCACCCAGGGTCTAGCGCCCTGTCCTGACTTCTATCACTACTACCTCCATATATAAACTAACGTCATCTTCTCTGTGGATTACTGCTATGGCTAACAAGCTGTCTAGTTTTCTCTCTTGTCTGCCTGCAGCACATTTTCATTAGAATAGGCAGTTACTCTTTTAAAGTATAAATAGATCACATCACTACTCTTCAAATTTTTCATTCAGAAGAATAGCCACCACGTTCAAAATCCAATGTAACCTGGCTCCCTGTGACTTTAATGACTTCCTCCCCTACAGCTCTGTCTGAGGTCATTCTATTTCAACTACACTGGACTCTTTACTCTCCTTGGGGCTTTGCTGATCCTCCTCTTGGAATGCACTCCTCTCTCTCACACATGTCTCTCACACATGTGAAATCAATCTCTTTAGGCCCTGGTGCAAGTGTCCCTTTCCCAGAGAGCTCTTTTCTTATAGCATACTTAAAAGTGTAGCATACTTAAAATTGTAACCCAGAATTTATAATATCATTTTTCTATTTTATTTCCCCCTTGCCAATTATATTTTTATTCACATTATCTATTAATTGTGTCCTTCCAGAATAAACCCCAATGAGTCTAGAGAGTTCTGTTTTAGTTACAGACAGAGGCTATTGTTCTTATACACATAAATAATGCTTGGAAAAATAGGAGCTTAGTAAATATTTGTAGAATGAATAAGTGAATGGTTAAATAGATGACAGAATAAATATTAAATGTGGTTCTCTTCTCCAAGAGAAATTTCAGCTCAAGACCAGATTGTACATTAGGAGGAAGCATGATGGGTTTCTGGTCTCCTGGCGATTTACACAGGTGTGATCACTTATGATGTGTGCACTTTTTTACATGACAACTATGCTTCAGTAAAGTGCTTTTTTAAAGAACAGATTTTATTACTTACAAAGCAAAGATACAGAAAAAACCTAAGTATTGTGAATGGATGAGTAGGTAAAGAAGCTATAGTGTGTGTGTGTGTGTATGTGTGTAAAATGAAATATTATTCACTTATGAAAAGGAAGGAAATCTTGCCATTAAGAAAACTTGGATGAACAGTGAAGGCATTAGGCTAATTGAGATTAGTCGGACAAAGAAAGACAAATACTGTATGTTATCACTTCTGTAGGAAATCTCAAAAAAGCCAAACTTACAGAGAGAGTTGCCAAAGGCTGAGACAGGAGAAAGGGGCGGGGGCACTCCTGGTCCAAGACTACAAACTTCCAGTTATAAGATAAACAGGTTCTGGGGATCTAATGTACAGAGGGTGATTATAGCTAATAATACTGAATTATATAACTGAAAGTTGCTGAGTGAGTAGATCTGAAATGTTTTATTTTATTTTAGTTTATTATTTTTCAAGTACAGTTTTCTGTCTATTTCTCCCATCCCAGCCTCCCCCACCCCTTGCTCCCCACCTCCCTCCCATTTCCACTCCCCTTAGTTCTGGTCCTTATGTCCTTCATACTTGTTCCTCCAAATCCCTCCCCTTTTTCCCCCTTAAATTCTCTCCACTCTCTCCTCTGGTCACTGAACCCTTGTTCTCTATTTCAGTGTCTTTTGTTTCTATTCTGCTTGCTTGTTTGTTTTGTTGTTTAGCTTCCTGTTAAAGGTGAGATCATATGGTATTTGTCTTTCAACACCTGGCCTATTTCACACAGCATAATGCTTTCCAGTTCCATCCATGTTGTTGCAAAGTGTAGGAGCTCCTTCTTTCTCTCTGCTGCATAGAATTCCATTGTGTATATGTACCACAATTTTTGATCCATTCATTTACTGATGGGCACCTAGGTTGCTTCCAACTCTTGGCTATTGTAAATTGTGCTGCTATGAACATTGTGGTGCATAGGTTCTTTGAAATTGATGTTTTAGGATTCTTAGGATATAATCCTAGCAGTGGAATTGCTGGGTCAAAAGGCAGGTCCGTTTTCAGTTTTCTGAGAAAATTCCATACTGTTTTCCATAATGGTTTTACCAGTCTGCAATCCCACCAACAGTGAAGTAAAGACCCCTTTTCCCACAACCTCTCCAACATTTGTTGTTTGTTGCTTTGTTTATGATAGCCATCCTGACCAGTGTAAAGTTGTATCTCCTTGTGGTTTTAATTTGCATCTCTCTGATGGCTAGTGATATTGAGCATCTTTTAATGTGTCTCTGGATCCTCTGTATGTCCTCCTTGGAGAAGTGTCTGTTCAAGTCCTTTGCCCTTCTTTTAATTGGGTTATTTGTCTTCTTAGAGTGGAGTCATGTAAGTTCTTTGTATATTTTGGAGATTAAGCCTTTGTCTGTGGTATCATTGGCAAATATATTTTCCAATACAGTTGGTTGTCTTTTAAATTTAATACTTTTATTTAGCCATGCAGAAGCTTTTTATTTTGATGAGATCCCATTTGTTTATTCTTTCTTTTATATTCCTTGCTCTAGGGGACATATCAGTAAATATGTTGCTGCATGAAATATCTGAGATTTTCCTGCCAATGTTCTCCTCTAGGACTTTAATGGTTTCACGGCTTATATTTAAGTCTTTTATCCACTTTGAATTTATTTTGGTGTATGGTGTAAGTTGGTGCTCAAGTTTCAATTTTTTGCAAGTAGCTGTCCAGTTCTCCCAACGCCATTTGTTAAAGAGGCTATCTTTACTCCATTTTATGTTACTGCCCACTTTGTTGAATATTAATTGACTGTAGAGAGTTGGGTTGATTTCTGGGCTCTCTGTTCTGTTCCATTTGTCTATGTGCCTGTTTTTATGCCAGTACCGGGCTGTCTTGATTACAGTGGCCTTGTTATACAGTTTGATATCAGGTATTGTGATCCCTCCTACTTTGTTCTTTTTTCTCAAAAGTGCAACTGCTATTCAGGGTCATTTATGGTTCCATATAAATTTTGAAGTGTTTGTTCTATGCCTGTGAAATATGCTATTGGTACTTAAATAGGTATTGCATTGAATCTGTAAATTGCTTTGATCTTAAATGTTTTACCTCAAAAAAAAAGAAATGGTAATTATGCGAGAAGATGAAGGTATTAGATAATGCTATGGTGGTAATCACTTTGCAAAATACAAGTGTATCAAATTAATACATTGCACATCTTAAACTCATACAATTTTTATGTCATATCTCAATAAAGCTGGAACAAAAGAACAGATTTTGTGCATAGCTCTTCTTGCTTCAGGATCACTAGTGTAGTGCCTAATTTAGTATACATATTTAATCAGTATATATTCCACTAGTACAATTCACTCATTATCCTGCATGAATTGGGCAAATAATTAAGTAAAATTCATATTTGATACCTTTTTTTTCTGACTAGGTAGAAAAATCTGCCTTTTGGGGCCCAATGTGAAACTCCACTTTGTATACATACTTCATGCTCTCGTGTGCCATTTCCTCCCTTCTGCTTCTGACCTTGGCAAAGCTCTAAAAAAGCAACTCAATAAGGCTGATTGACATTAAGGTATACAGTACTGATGGCCATCAAGCTATATTTTAAATAAAAAGTGTTAATTGCCATAAATTTCACCAGTGCGAAGTTGCTGAACATAGCACTCTAGATTCCTCGGAAGGGGATTTGGTTTGGGGTGGGGAGTGAGAGGAAGCTGCCTGAGGAAACTTTTCTGGTGTGCTGAAATCACAGAATCAAGTCTCCTAACAACTTACCTGACCACATGTGAGATAAGTCACATTCATTACACATCCACTTTTTAAAATGTCAAAAATGTACTAAATTGGTTAGGAGTGGGTCTAATAACCTCAAAGACCAAAGAATAAGGAACTTGTCAGTAATCCCAGAACTCTCACCAAATATGAACTATGCTTAATCCTTAAAGGACTTGATAGCTATACTGAATCAGCATTTCCCAGGCTTTTCTATGGAAATGCAATTTATAGGGCCAACAGTCCCCCACCCTCCACAATAAATGTGTTAAGTTAATAAGCAGCTTTTCAGAAAAAGTCCATCTTACCAGACTGTCTTCCTCTTCAGAAGATCGAGGTTGGGGTGTTTTCTCTTGGAGTCTTGCCCTTTCCAAAGCTTCTTTTTGACTAAAGAAGAATACACAAAATAATGTAAAGGTTTAGCCACAAAGAATGGCTCCTGGAACTTCCAGTGGGAAGTTAAACAATTCTGATAAAATATAATGGAATCACAGGACACTCTGTGCTCAAAACACAGAACGCCAAGGGTGACCAGGGTGAGACGTTAAGGAAAGCACACAGCTGGGCTCAGGTTTAGAGCTCTCATATCCTGATAGGTGTGTGATTGTAGATAAGTTGCTTAGATCCCTTGAGCTTTGATTTTTCTAGAATGTACAATAGGGTGGTATTGGTAATTTCCTAAAAAAATGTTCTACAAATAGCTAAATGAATACTAATAATGATGATGATGGTGGTGGTGATGATGATGGTGGTAATTATGATTATTGTCATCATCATTATTGATCAAGTCCATTGGTTCCCAAGCATGGCTGTTCATCAAAATAACCTAGAAACCCTTTCTTAAACACAAATTCCTTAACCCTAGAGATTGACTTCATACATTTTGGGGAACAAAACTCCATATTTTTTTAAAAATAAGATCCTTCTCTGTTGAGTCTGATCTAGTTATGGAACAAAAATCTGAAATAATTTCTTATAACTATAATTCTGAGAGCTGAAATACAATTCTTTTTCAGTGACAGCTAGTAAATATCATGGTTAGAGCTTACATCCGGATTCCTGTCTCAAGCACTCTTTCTCCTATATTAGGCATTGTCAAGTTAAGGGCCTTGACTATAAAAATTTATCTTAAGGACCCCATGGTTCACAGGTACACATTTATTTAAACAGTGGTTTCTAAAAATGCAGTTCCCCTACAAATGGAAGGGGTAAGAGGGCCCTCTTACTCACAAGATAGTTCTGCACATGTAACACTTGTTTTTATATAACTTTCCATCAGCACCACGCACGGGGTCATTCTCTCGAGTGCATATGAGGTTGTCATTCCTCAGGTACTGCCGAAAGTTACCACATTCATCCTAGGAAATGAGAAAGAAGTTAACATGTCTGTTTCCCTTCTTGACTTGGTGGTTTTTTCAAATTTGGGCTCAGGGCTCTGGGCTCAGACTAACTTCACTTATGTGGTCAACGGAGACAGAGGAATGCCCAGACTGCCCAAACTTTCCATTCTCCATTCTTTTCGGGACTTCTTTACACTGGTCCTGGAAATGCAGGGAAAGGTAAAACAACACTTGATAGACCGCCTTCTCTCTCTCGCCCTTTCCTTCCCATCTTTCTATCCCCCCATATTCCTCAACCAAAGGATGCTCTCACAGGGATCTAACCCTACAAATGGGATGGATTATCCCTGGGAAAGGACTGAATAACATATCTTCTTTGCAGTCTTGAAAAGCAAACAGAAAAGGCAGCATCATGCATGCACACTATTGATTTGCTCATGCTGAGAAAATCACCTGAAGAAAGTGGAAAAAAGGGATCAAGGGAAAAGCCAGAGGGGAGGCTTTTAGGCTAGTGTGTATTACCCGGATGGTTAAAGTCAATATCAACAAGCCACCTGCACCCTCACTTCACATTTAGTATCAGACAGGAGCATGCAGGGGAGGTCGTAGTGGATTTCTTTTACCCTCTCTTTCTCAACCCACATTCCCCCCAAGAGGAGACACAAAAGCAACGATTGATACACTGTAAGAGAATCTCCACAAAATTCAGAAAAACATTAAACCTCAAAGCTAGAAAAACATCTTTTTATACAAATTGACAACATGGGCAAAATCAAATTTCTTTCAGGCAAAAGATTAGCATCTTCATTATCCCAAAAGTGGAGAGAATTCAAGATCTTAGGCTGAAAAGTTAAATAGCTTTCTTCATATCTTTTAAGAAATAACCTTTGTATCACTTGAAGGCTTGTCATGTGATTTCTCTTCATTCCTTTTTCTCTCACTAGCTTCTCTCTCACTGTAGAATAAAAAAGAGTAGGTTTTCCAGTTATTATTGAAATTTTTTTAAGAATTTTTTATTTAGTTAGTTATTTTTCAAGTACAGTTTTTTTGTCAATTTCTCCCATCCCAGCCCCCCCTCTGCCCTGTCTCCCCACCAATATTTTTTAATCAACTACTTTTTTACTTTAAACATTAACAATCTAACTCTGCATTCTCATATTTTAAAATATCTAAAATACTTTCTTTACTAATGAGTTCTGTTTGTTGGAATTTCCACATTTATGGTGATGCTAGCAGCTTCCTAAACTCAGTTACTAAGCTGTCAGAATGAGATGATCCCCTAGCAGAGTCTACTTATGGGTTTCACATAGAAAGTTGCTTCATTTCTCATTTTTATAAAAGTGCAACTAAAATCTCCAGTGTTGACTGTTCACTATATAGTTTTAGTGCTTTAAAGTTTATAAACATATTTACATATTATCTCCTCAAATACCTATACAAACAATAGTGAAATTGTCATTCCCTTTACATATATGAAAAGCTGAGTGTCTGCACAGTGAACTGTTCTGTCCTGTATTACTTAGCTGATAAGCTTCCTCTTTGAAAGTCCATATTTGGATGCAATCCAACAGCTCCCCCCTATCTCACATGCTCCAGGTATGATTATGCTGCTCCACATCAAAATAAAAATTTCTTGGGAGAGTGTTTTAAAGACTTATTGTCCTCTTTTCAAGTGAGGAGCTGTTACTATACTTGTAATGTGTGATGCCAACTGCCTGCCATTCTAAACCAAGAGGAACTCTTTTGAGGTCTACAGGCCCAGCAAGCAGATAAGTCGGTAAGCCCCCTCACATACAAGATGGTCTGACACATGGCGCACTTGTTGACATGCATCTTGCCATCTGGGCCTTGCACTGGGTTGTTTTCCATGGTACAGGGGAGCTTCCCATCTCTCACCATGGTCCGGAATTCATGACACCGGTCCTGCCAACAGGAGCAAAGGGAGGTGTTAATGTGTGAGTCTGATCTGAAGAACTGAAAATGAGATTTGTTGAGAAGACCTAAACTCAAAATGTTTGAGGGTGAGAGGAAATCTAAAGCAAATTAAATTAGAGAGATGGAATATATTTCACAGGTACATAATTCACTATTTTCTCAGAATCATTCCCACAGCATTCTTCTTAAATAACTGTCTTGCCCCCCCCCAAGGAATGTAACTACCTCCTAGGACTGCCCATATTATTTTTTTACAGTTTTTGAGTGGGCTGAGCCCCAAACCTGTCTGTCTATAACTGTACTCATACTCACTGCAGAAAAAGCTCTGGAATGAACTAAAAGATGCTCTGTGGGTAAAACATACTGAGATGTAAACTTTTAAGTTTGTCCCTCGACAATAATTTTTTTAAAATTTAAATCAAATCTGTCTCATATGCCAGGAACTTTGTTGTGTTCGCTAACAGATTTCCTTCAGTTGTCATAAAAACCCTGTAGGATAAACATTTATTATCATCATTTTACAGACAAGGAAAAATGAAGGCTTGCAGAGATGAAGTAACTAAAGTTAATGTTGATTTGTGATCAGAAACCCATTCGTGACCAGGCTAGTTTTCTTTTCTTCACTGATTTTACCTGGCAGAGAACAAAAACTCCTATACATTTGTGAGAAGATAGAGCTGTCTTTTTGGTTCTTTGAAAAATAAGAACCTTAAAAAGAAGCCAGTGGAACTAAATCCACAGGATCTGGCCTATATTGAAAGCTTTGGACATCTACAGAAGTTTGTCTTGAACATCCATTAACCCAAATAGACAAACAGAGGTGTGGGAAGATTACCTTAAAAGTATTAATTTAGATTGTAGTTATCCTTCTTTCTTTACATTGTGATGGCCCCAAACAACTCTAGACCTACTTTTACTGGGCATTTAAAAAATTATCTGGAATTCGGTGTTTAATTAACACATTAAAAGTCTCATGGCTACCATATACAGGAAGAGAGGGGACTTCTGCCAAGATGGAGGCATAGGTGGAAACACTTTATGTCCTCGCACAACCAAATCTAAAAACAATAAAGTTTTAACAACAATAAACATAACCAAACCACACAGAAAATCTAACAATACGGAGTCCGAAAATAACAAATCGCTCAGCTAAACCTGTGAGAGGGGTGAAGCCAGCAGCAGAACAGGACGGGCAAAAAAGATCCCCAGACCAAGGCAGTGCACAGGCAGCTGAGGGCGCAGAACCCAGGTGCAGGCTAGCTACGGGTTGACCCAGGGAAGAGGCACGGCTGGCTGTCTGTAGTCGGTCGCACATTTGCATGCACATAAACCAGTGAAGAGGCGAGCATTGAGACAGATCGCAAGGCCCAGTGGCGCAGGGAGGCAGGCTCAACAGGGGAGTGGGAGAAGGAGAAGGGGGAGAAGGTACAGAAAATAAGTAGCATAGACAGTAGATAGAAAATAAATAGTGGGGAGGGTAAGAATAGTAGGGGAAATATAGAATCTAAAGAACTTGGGACACATGTTCATGAACTAAAGGGGGGGAGTTGTGGGGGAAGGGTGTGCAGGGTGGAGGGGAATAGAGGGGGGATAGAAGAAATGTAATGGCATAATCAATAAAATAAAAATATATATTAAAAAAAGAAAAAAGCTGAAGAGAAAGGTTTAAAACTAGAAAAATGGAGAAAACATTCAAATACTGAGAGTCGATTGTTACTGCTAATGTCATTAGTAAAGCATAAATTTTTTGCAAGACAAAAATAAGTCTCACAGCTACCATATTTAGAAGTTACTAGAATAATTTCTTTTTCCAGGTGCCCAACATACCTGGATATATGCTTATAATAGCATCCATCTTTCTGTATTGTGGCCTTTGCTTTATGGGTGCAATCCTGGGACCTTCTATTTATTATGTGTCTATAGTTAATGTCTCTGAGTTTTCTTGAACTGTAAAATGCACACCACCACTAATGCACAGATTTGGGGGGAGGTTTAAATGTGATGATGCAAATGCTTTGTAAAGCTTATTTCATTTTGCCTGCATAGATTAGACCACAGCTCCTTTTTCTTTTTTTTTTTTAACCACATAAGCACAGTATCTGGACATTTTTTATGTACATGTATATAGAAAGCATGTTTTGTTTGCCATTCATTCTTATAGTAGATAGTAAATAATAAAAAAAACTGAGCAAGATCACAAATAGAATAAATGGCCAGCAGATGTCATTTGAAGTTATACAATAACAAGTTTTCACAATACCATTCATCTACCAAAATGCCTAACAGATGCCCCCAATCTATTTTTTAAATAATAGTTACTATTAATGTTTCATTTTGTTTAGGCAGTATAGACCTAGTGAAAAGTTGCATCATTAATGGGAAAACCTTTCCGGGGAAATTTCACTATTTTACTTTTGTAATTGGAGTTCACAGATGGAGTAGAAAAGATTCTGTACAGCTTATTTCCTACACCTCTGTGTTGGTGTAGGAAAGCACTGACCACCATGTGTTCAAGCCCCAAACTGAACACAAGATGGCACTGTAATGCCGAATCCAGATTGTATTATCCTGAGCCCATCTGAGGTAATGTTTGTACTTTTGGTATCTATTTGCTTGGTTACTTTTTTTTTTATTTTATTTTTTAATATATATTTTATTGATTATGCCATTACAGTTGCTCTATTCCACCCCCTTCATTCCCCTCCACCCTGCACACCCCCTCCTCCACCATTCCCCTCTTTAATTTATGACCACATGTCTCAAGTTCTTTAGATTCTATATTTCCCATACTATTCTTGCCCTCCTCCCTATCTATTTTCTACCTACCATCTATGCTACTTATTTCCTGTACCTTCTACCCCCTTCTCCTTCTCCCACTCCCCTGTTGCTAACCCTCCTCGAGATCTTCATTTCTATGTTTCCACTCCTGATCTAGCTGTCCTTTTAGTTTGCTTTTGTTTTAGGTGTGGTTCTTAATAACTGTGAGTTTGCTGTCCTTTCACTGTTCATCTTTTTTATCTTCTTTTTCTTAGGTAAGTTCCTTTAACATTTCATATAATAAGGGCTTGGTGATGATGAACTTCTTGAATTTGACCTTATCTGAGAAGCACTTTATCTGTCCTTCCTTTCTAAATGAAAGCTTTGCTGGATAGAGTAATCTTGGTTGTAGGTCTTTGGATTTCATGATTTAGAATACCTCTTTCCAGTCCCTTCTTGCCTGTAGGGTCTCTTTTGAGAAATCAGCTGACAGTCTGATGGGCACTCCTTTGTAGGTGATTGTCCCCTTATCTCTTGCTGCTTCTAGGATTCTCTTCTTCATTTTAATCTTGGCTAATGTAATGATGATGTGCCTTGGTGTGTTCCTTCTTGGGTCCAACTTCTTTGGGACTCTCTGAGCTTCCTGGATTTCCTGGAAGTCTATTTCCTTTGCCAGTTTAGGGAAATTCTCCTTTATTATTTGTTCAAATAAGTTTTCTACTCATGGCTGTTTCTCTTCCCCTTCTGGTACCCCTATAATTTGGATGTTGGAACATTTAAAGATGTCCTGGAGGTTCCTAAGCCTCTCCTCATTTTTTTGAATTTTTGTTTCTTCATCCTTTTCTGTTTGGTCATCTTCTTCTTTGTTCTCGTTCACTCCCTTGATTTGAGTCCCAGTTTCCTTTCCATTACTATTGGTTTCCTGTGTGTTTCCCTTCATTTCAATTAGTTTAGCCTTCATATGTTCCTCTAATTTGTGACTAAAATCAACCACTTCTGTGAGCATCCCGATCACCAGTGTTTTGAACTGTGCCTCTGAAAGTTTGTCTATTTCTTCATCACTTAGAGTTATTGGCTCTGGGGCTCTGAGTTGTTCTTCTTGAGCCATAATGTTTTGCTTGTTCATACCTGTTAGGTATGAGGAGCGGAGCCTTAGGTGTTCACCAGGTTGGGGCCACCCAGGTCGCTGGTTTGTGATGCTGCATGTGGGGGCGGGGTCAGAGAGAGACAATGGTGGTCCCCTCTCTGCTGGTGCCTGCATGGTCTAACTCAGTCTCACTGCTTGCTCCTTCTTTAGTTATCTGAGTGAGAATGTGTGACCACAGTCAGCCTTCAGTGGTTCCGCTGCCTTGCGCCCTCAGTGGGTCCGCCCGCTGCTACTCCACACCTGGGATCTACCCACTGGCTGCTGGCCTGGGTCGCACTCTAGTTGGTCAGGTGGATCTTTCCTGCCCGACCCCACTCTGCTGCTGGCTCTGCCCCTCTTGCCGGTTTGGCTGAAGGGTTCCTTCTTGTCAGACTTCCATATAGTTCAATTTTCTGTCGTCTGACTGCATTTTTGTTGCTAAAACTTGTTGTTTTTAAACTTGGTTGTGAGAGAAGGCAGAGTGTTTCCACCTATGCCTCCATCTTGGCAGAAGTCTCTGCTTGGTTACTTTGTTTCTACTTCTGTTTTAAAACTTTGAAAAAAGTTCACTTGATAACAATAATTTGAGAGTTTTCACTGGTCCTACAAGTATTGGAGTTGTGCCCAGGGCACTGGTTAGGGTGCCACTTCCTTGCAAGACCTGGCCATGTCTTTCTGGTTTACCACCATTTTACCCCAATGACTGTAACATAACAGGCATTCCATCAATATTTGTTGGATACATTAACCATACAAACAATCATCTTGATTTCGTTATTAACACATTACCTGATTTTCCTTGCTCTTTTCTCCTGTGTTTTGCTTGCCACCCTCCTCTTTCTTTTTTTTCTCAGCTACTTCCCTTTCCCTGGAAGAAAAAAAATGGAAAGAAACATTTCCACCAAAGTAAACAAACATCTCATGAATCACTAGGTCTTAAAAACACGTCATTTACTCAAACTGATGAGAAATGATCTTTATACTTCAAGACTCACAATTCAAGACCCATTATTGAAAAATACTCACAGTTGGTCCTTACACATATTACATGTATTGCCATGTGTCTTGCCATCTGGACCACGGACAGGGTCATTTTCTCGGGTACAGATGAGTTTTCCATCTTTCATTTGGCTTCTAAACTCATCACACTTGCCCTGAAAAGAAGGAAAGATTACATTAAAAATGGCTGTTTTCACACAGTATTTATTTGACTGGGCTTGAAAAATCTGAAGATTTTGGCAGCTCTCTCTGGTGTTTGAGCCTTTCCCTGTCCCCTTCCCCCAGGTGTGCTTTCCTGGCCTCTTTCTTTCTCCTGAGCTCCAATGGCTTTTTAATTAATTAATTAATTAATTAATTAATTTGTTTGTTTGTTTATTAATTAATTTATTTATTGTGCCTCTGTAACTTATTTCCTGAGCCTTCACTGCTCAGCTGGCTCACTTCTTCCACAGCTCACTTCTTCTACCTCTGTAACTTTCTAAATAAGCTTTCACTCCTATTTGGAAAAAAAATAAAAGAAAGAAAATCTTAAATTTTGACTCAAAGTCATGAACCACTTAACCTTGCTATGGAGGCAGTATAGTGAAGACTTCCACAGCCAGAGCCTGTAGAGTTATTGGCTTTCACAACAAGAAGGCATTACAATCAAAGATGGGATTAAGGTTGCTAATCAGCTGACTGATCTTAAAATGGAGAGATTATTCTGCATTATCAGGGTGGACCCAACGCTATCACAAGGGCTTTTATAGAGGGGAGACAGGAGTCAGTGTCAGAGTTATATGGCCTGAAAAAGGTTCAGATGGTCACCACTGAGTCTGGAGGGCCACAAGCCAAGGAGTGCAGGCAGCCTCTAGAAGTTGGAAAGGGCAAAGAGACAGAGCCTCCAGAGGAATGCAGCCCTGCTCAAACCTTTTTAACACGAGGGGACCCAGTAGGACTTCTGAACTGCACCTATATATGACAATAAATATGAGTTGTTTTAAGCTGCTCTTGATAGCAATTTGTTACAGCACTGAACCTCCTTTTACCCACCCATAATTTTTTAAGAATCATATTTGCCAGGGTGTTGAAAGAATAAACTACTATTTATAAAAGTGCTTTATAAAGGGTTGGCCTGAAAGGTTTCTATTTGGTGTTACATTTCCACCCTGAACACGTTACCAGTGACATTTATATTCATGATGGTTCCTGATCTAAGGGCAAGATCTTGGTTGACAATACTGGCACCCCCCTTTCCATATTTTTGATGGCCAAGGGTTGACCTACAGAAAGACCATTCTTTCTGAAACCTGGTTATAATGCCTCACCTTCCCTGACGCTGATTCAGTCCCATTTGCTCTGTAGCCAGAATAGTTATTTGTTCTACCTGCTTCTCTTTCCCTAGAAGAGAAAAAAGTTAATAGTCATCTTGTTAACATGTACTCAGGTTTCGAAAGACCCTTAGAGTTCACCATGTGCTAAATCTTGACAGAGTATCTCTCTGCATATCCCCATGAAGGACAGTGGGCTCAGCCATTAAGAAGCTCCCTTATTCAAGGTAGATATTCTAGGTAGATCAAGTCAAGTTGTTTCAAAGTGTCCTTAATTTGTGTCCAAATGTATCTCCCTCTAACTTCTATCCTTCAGTCTTATTTCACATTCGCAGGACAACACAGAGTAAGCCTGCTGAATCCATCACATCTTCTTGATACTAACCTTTCAGATATTTCAGGCAAGTTTCAGGTCTCCAAGTCCAGCTTCCTCAGTTATTTCACCTTTTCATGATAAGTTATTAGTTTTTAATTCCTCACTAACTCACCATTCTACTTCCTTGATTTGTAGGTCAACAATTTTATAACATTATTTCTTAAAGTATGGAGTGCTAGATAGAAAAAAGATAAGTGATCTGGAAAGTACCTCTAGGACCAGGTGTTTTTAACCTCTTTCTATTCCTTAGGGGAAGCAAGAGAAAGAGATAATATTTGGGAATTAACAAAAAGAATAATTTTTATGGAGGGAGCCCTTAGTAAATGAAAAATAGCCATTCATTCAGGAGGACTATGTGGCTATCTCTTAGACAAGCTGGTTTAGAGGAATACTTACAGTATCTCTTTACACATGGAACATTTATTGTTGTACATTTTGCCACTAGCATCACGTACAGGATCACTCTCCCGTGTACAGCTGAGTTTCCCATTTTTCATATTATTCCGAAACTCAGCACATTGGTCCTGAAAAGGGAGAAGAGGGCAGGCCTTTTGGTTTACTTGGTCTGTTGCATTGTTATGAAATTTGCTAATAATTTGAGTAAGAAAAGTTTTTCCCTACCTTGTCTTACAAGGAATATAACATCAAGGATTGCTATCTACAGGGAAAAGGGGGCTGGAATCACCCATATTCTAAGAGGTCAGTTATCCTGCATAATAATACTGCTTTTAAGGTTTCATAAAGGGAAAAGAAAGCTGGCTAAAATTTAATAGCATAGATCAAGGGTTAGCCAACTACACAGCCTAAAGGACTAATCTGTCCTGTTGCCTGTTTTTATGTAAAGTTTTACATATAAAATTTGAAACATCCTCATTCATTCATACATTTAGATATATATGGCTGCTTTCCTACAACAATGGCATCGTTAAATAGTTACTACAGAGACTACATGACCCACAATGCCTAAAATATTTGCTATTTGGACCTTTTAAAAAAATTGCTGACCTCTGTTTAGATAGAAAGGAGAAAGAAAGGCTGGGAGAAAGTTATGCAAAATGACAAGAAAGAGATGCTTTAGAAAATTATGAAGAAAACAGAAAGGGGTCTTTAACACATCTATCACTTGAGAATGTGGACTGAGCCTCCTAAAGTAGAAAAGATGGAAAAACCGAAAGGCCAGAATTTATCAATAGCAAATACTGGGCATGAGTCATAGCTGGAAGCAAAGAGATGGCCTTGATAGCCCAAGACCATAAGAAGAGCAATAAGGTGGCTGTAATCTTATGAAATTGTGCTCACACAGTGGAGGAGTGAGCTTGCATGCAGCACTGACATGCTGACAAAAATATCTCTGGAAATGTGCTAAACACTTGCCCCAATTATTTTTACATTATCCTTGTAAGAGTACTGCTGAGTCAGGGACACTAGAGCTCAGTGAGATTAACTGACTTGTTTAATGCTTCACAAGTCCTCAGTGCAAGGGATCAGGGTCATACCCCAAATTATCTGACTCCAAAACCTATGCTCTTTCACCCTACTATGCTGCCTTGAATCAACAAAGTATACCTCAACAAAGTGACTCCATTCAGAGAAAGAGAAAATAATAAAAGAAAATGAAGAGCATGTGACACTGTTGTGGAACAGCTCTACATTTATACCACTTACCCTCCTGTCCCCAGTTAGTGATGTGAGAGCCAGACTATAGAAAGAGGAGCCAGGAGACTGGGATATGGTCATTGTGTTAATTATTCCAGGTTTAAAGAAGTCTAAATGAGTCCTAGAGAGACTAAAATCACCGAAGGACTACCCCATAGGTTTAAGGAGATGATCCCCCATTTTTCCTAGGACACTTTCCAACTCAGCACTCCACATGTTCACCTTGTACCATCATAGACTATACAGGGCTCCGATTGTCAATGAGGTGAAACTGTTCTGGTGATGAATTTAGAGGTTCTCTCACCTGAGCTTTCCCTCCTCCACCACCACCATTGGGACCATGCTCTTTGGCATTTCGTTGACCTTCCTGTTCTTTACTCTTCCTCTCGTCATCTTCTTTCTGGCTGGAAATTAAAAAGTGGGAGGGAGGGAATAATAGATTACAGAGAACAGAGTGCATGTCTCTAAGTTTCTCATCACTTGACCAAGTTACATTAATGTAGAATTCACCAGCACTTGAACATCTACTATGTTGCAGGCCCTCTTTGAAAATGAGAGATGAAATATATGTAGTCCTTTTGCCTGGAAGAGTCCACATTGCAATAGAAGGGAACCAATATTTACAAGTCACAAGCAAGAGCATGTGAGCAATTAACTAGCATTTCATGAAGCCTCACTGTGAATCACCAAGTATTTCTCTCAAACACCTCATATTTCTGAGGTTCTAAAATAACTACCTTCTCTACCAAAAGTGTTCTCCCTCCTGGATTTTCTACCTCTCATGAAGAACAAACTACTAGAGTCACCTTTAGCTGCTCCCTCTCCTTCAATTCAGATAGCTGTTGCCAAGTAATGCTGACTTCACCTTCATGATATCTCTTGTGTTGATCTATTCACCTTCCACCCTATTCCCCCTGCTGTAGTTATTTTTTACTGGGTCACTGCAAATCCCTACCATCACCTGTAGCATTCTTCACCTTTGTCCCTCCATTCTCTTATTCTCATTCTTACTACCCACATATGGATCTTCCTAAAAGAACCATATTTATGCCACTTCCTCCCCTACCTAAAATTTTTAGCAGCTCTCCACTCTATATAGGATTGACTTTGAAATCCTTGAAGCTGGCATTCAAAGCTGGTGAAGCATCTAAGTTCTCACTGAATTAAATAACTTGCACCTTTCTGCACAGATGACAGTTTTCTTAATTTTAGATTTTACCTATGCTGTTCCCCTTTCCTTTTATTCTTTCCAGTACTGTCCACAACAAGGTCCAGTTCTTTTCCTCCATAAAACTATTAACTTTCCCTTCCCTGAAGGAGCATAACACATTGTCTACATCATTTTTCATTTAGCAATTTCCATTGTATTAACTACTGCCCATGTCTAATCTCTAGTGAATGCTATGATTTCTAGGAAGACTCTTTCATTCATATTTGTGTAGTCATTACACATCTTACACATTGTAGCTGTTCAGCAAAGGACTGTTAAATAACAAATATTTTAGTTGTACTTCCAAACATTGTGTAAAGAGCTATTTTTCATCTCCTGAAAATGTGGTATTTTCAGAAATGTAGGTAGAGGAGTTATATTGCTATTCAAAATCAGTGTGTTTTCTCCCTGGTGGGAATTACAAAATAACCCAGAGAAGAGATCCAACTGACAGCAAAGGATCTTGTGTCAAGAAAGATGTTGTAAGCTACTGATAGGCTCTACCCCAGAACTAATGGAGAATGTGATGAAAATCTAACAAATGTCTATTTCTAGAATTATGAATCTTATATGCTTTAGGGATAATCATTTGTTACTTTGATGTGTAAGGAAAGGACACACTATTTATTGTCTTCCTGGCTCTTTGCCTCCCCAACGCTGCCGACCTAGGTGAACTCACAAGACTGCTTTACACATGGCACACTTGTTGCCATGGGTCTTGCCATCTGGGCCACGCACAGGGTCATTTTCTCGGGTACAGAAAAGATTTCCATTTTGCAAAAGGCTCCGAAATTCACCACACATATCCTAAATGGAGGAGAAAAGGCAAGAGCTTAGGTATTTTCTTGGAAATGACTTTGTTGGGTTCCTACTGAGTGCTTCCTGGAAAAAAGAGAAAATAACCTAAGGATTTTTTCTAGCAATGGTTTCATTCAATTCCTACTAACCATGCACGACTTAGAAGGCAGTTTATCTTTCTTTTTCCTTGAGATTTATTCCTTAAATTCACACTGAGCCTGAAATCACAAACAAGCAAGACTCTTTTAATAAAGTGGATTCTCTAAGGACTGGGCACATTTCTTAGTTGGTGTTTTATTGTTCATCTTTGTTATGATGGAAAAAAAACCATTGAACATGACATAGAATAAAAATAATAAGGTTTAGCCAGAACTGCAAAGTTCGTCTAGTATGATCATCCTTACTATGTCTCAGTCCCCTTCATATCATGACTGCCAAGAAGTTATTTAACTTGCATAGGAACACCTGCCGTGAAAGGAGTCCATTACCTCCCATACAGTTCATTCCAATATTTCTACTATATAGTTTCCACAAATTATCCAGCATGCTACTTTTGTGGGATCTTAGGAAATAATACAGTCTTTAGGATCCCTTCTCATAGGGTTTGGTTTTTCTAAGATGTCATTGCAATTAGGATGAAAATGCTTCTTCAGACCAGTAAGCAAAGACAAAGTATTATGTTTCCCTCAGAAAAACTGAGGATCTTTTCCTTCTTCCACATGAGAATTTTTCAGATAGTTGGAGAAAGCTTTCTTGTCCTTCTTCTCCCATGACTCTGTATGTTCTCTGCCAAGAGCTAAAAATCCCAGATACCTCAGTCATTCTGTACAATTTCTCATTCTGAATTCTTCCCCTCTCCTACAGAATTTAATATAATGTTCCAGGCATGTCTGGACAAGCACTAACATGTTGACAGCTCAGCTGTATCGCATTGTTAATTATAATTCCAGCCTGCCATCGAGAAACCTCAGATGGTGGGGGTGCATCCTCTCTATGCCTCAGTCACCTCATCTATGAAATGGAAGTAATAGTATATTCAACTTGGCTAAAATAATAAAGGCCAATATGCATTAAGTACTCACTGTATGTCCTGAATTGTTATGAGAATGATGTAAGATAATACATGTATATAGAGCTACAATGACTAACATCTAGGAAGTATTCAGGAAGTGCTAGCTCCAGAGTTCTATGAGGAATTGAAAGAGAAAAAGCAAATCACTTCAAGATTATAGAATTAATTACTGATAGCAATTGGGATGGAAGTTATGGGGTTTTGTTCTTTTGTTTGTATCTTGCAGTTCAAGTTGAAAATCAGTTAAGACAATAGTGAATTTTTCCCTTAGCTTACTGCCGGATTCCCTAACTGGTCATGGTTAGCAAAAGAAATAAAATATGGGAGGATAGTTTGTTGGTAGTAGGTAATGTGGAATCAGAAATCATGTCATTCTGAAGAATCTTCTCTTGTAGATGTTAAAAAGTGAATCATGTGAGCTACTCAATTTTTCAATTTAGACTCACAATTATGGGAAATAAAATTGTAAATACTACCAATCATACAGGATTCTAAGTGTGATGCTTTTGTTTAGAAATTATTTTTAATATCAATAGTTCTTGATGGGGGCAAGGAAATTACTACAAATGGAAAAATCTACCTAGAATCAGTCTTTTTGAAATCAAGAAAATATTATTTTGGAAAGTTGCTTTACTGTAAAGGTAAAGCAAGAAACACACCTGGTTTGAGCAAATGTGTCCATCTAAAACTACACAGTATGTTAGAAATAATGCTAGATTGGTGTCAGCAAGCCTAGGCTTGAATTCCATTGTTTCCACTTTTCAATTGTGCAATATGGAGATATAGATTTTAATACCAATACTCCCACTACCTTTCTAAGCAAGTTCTTCCTCCTCTCTGTTTTAAATATCACTTAAAAATATGGGAATGGGCCCTGGCCAGGTAGCTAAATTGGTTAGAGCATCATCCAGATAAACCAAGGTTGAGGGTTTGATTCCCGGTCAGGGCACATACAAGAATCAACCAATGATTGCATAAATAAGTAGAGCAACAAACTGTTGTTACTTTCTTTGTCTCTCTCCTTCTCAAATCAATAAATATTTTTTTTAATTGGTAAGGAAGTAAATCAGGGGTTTGCAAGTAAAACTATGGCCCACGAGGAAAATCTGGCCTACCACTTTTTTTCGGAAATAAAGTTTTATTGCAACACATCAATATTCATTTGTTTGCATGTTATCTATCTATGGCTGCTCTAGAGCTACAACAGTAGAGTAGAGTTTCTTTGTCACAGAGACTGAATAGCCACAACTTCAAATATCTACTACCTGACCCTTTAAGAAAATTTTGTCAACCCCCTGAACTACATGAACCTTGATTTTCTCACATAGGCCCTCAGTATTTTTATGAATTCTTTTTAAAGGAAAACTACAAAACCTCATGCTTTCTTTTTGGTATGAACATTCCAGGACAATTACCTTTTCAGCTTCTCTCTTCACTTTTGCTCTGGATTCAGCTTCTTTTTTTTCTTTTGCTTCTTGTTGGCTGTAAGAGAAAGAAGAAGAATCACCCCCAGCACCCAGTACATACTACCCCATACGGAGAATCTCTCCAGATAGAAATATTCATTCCTTCCATGCCTTGAGGTAGAAAGTTAATGTGCACCCTCCATATTATTCTTCTTGCTTTAAGTGTTGCTTAAAAAATAAGACACATATGCCACAGTAAGACAGTAAATACATTTTCACAATAATATTCTCTTTGGAAAATAAAGATACTCTCCTTCTACCCAGAATGCAGCTAGAATACTTAAAAATAGTGACTAGATATTAACAAATTTGTTAGGCCCAATGATTATATTGTTGAATTATTCATGACCACATGTACACAGAGAACAGAAATCCTAGCCTTGTAGGCCACTAACTCTGGGGAATTTCTCCTGAGCACGCAGTCCTCCTTTGATGGTGGATCAAATATTTTTCAGAACACTGAGAACATTACAAAGAAATGTGCAGACTCTGTGGCCTGCTAATAAGAAATCCCCAAAGTCAATACAAAAATAGCCTTCAAGTTCTACCTCCTACAGAAAACCCTCACTATCATCTCTGTTGCCCACCCAGGAAGAAGATGTCTTCTCACTCAGCAGTAGCAGTGGCTAATGCGCTACTCACAAGAAGGCCTCACACATGGAGCAAGTGTTGCCATGCACTTTCCCATCTGGGCCCTCAATGGGGTCATTCTCCCTGGTGCAGGGAAGTCGTCCATTCCTCACGTAGTGACGGTATTCACTGCACAACTCCTGCCAAATGAGGGAGGATTTAAGAATCAGGTAACTAAATATTGGAAAGCTCCCCCTCATTATCCTTTTGAAAATGATGCTAGAATGCTCCAGAACATAATGGATGCATGACAAAAGGTTGATATTAGCTAAGATGCTTCTTAAATTGCTGTTACATATCTTATAGAAAAACTTCAGTTGAATGCAAATGTTAGTCTCTACTTGGCACTGTAAGAGATATAATGACAAATAATTTTTTTGTTCCTTTTGTAAGGAAATTTGTGGTAGGCAGGTGAGTAGCTCCCAACTCTAAATTTGTACAAGCCCTTATACCAGGGACCTGTAAATATGAGTATATTACCTTACAGGGCAAAGGGATTCCTCAGATGTAATTAAAGAAGGGAAGACTGAGATGGGGAGATTATCCTGGATATTTCTAGTGTGTCTGATGTAATCACAAAGGTCAGCCCTTAAAACCGGAAGAGTGAGACAGATGCGATGGTGAGGAGGGAATGTGACTATAGAAGAAGTGTCAGAAATGCATCGTTGTTGGCTTTGCAGATGACAAAAGGGGCCCAAGAGCCAAGGAACATGAAAGGCCTCTAGAAGCTAGAAAAAGCAAAGAGAAAAATTGTCCCCTAGAGGCTGATTCTAGAAACACAGCCCTTACCAACCCTTTAATTTAGCCCAGTGAAATGTGTGCCAGGTTTCTAACCTAAAGAACCATAAGATAATAAGTTTGTATTGTTTTTAAGCTACCAAGTTTGAAATAATTTGTTAGAGCAACCATAAAAGACCATACAGAGTTTTTGGTTTCTTTTGAAGAAATACACAGAAGCTTCTATAAATTAAAACAAAGCAAGTGATATAATTGAGAAATTAAAAAAATTATTAGCATAATAGATGAGAGAGCTATTAAACATATTGTATAAGTAGAGAAAATATTTAGGGAGCAAATAATACTTATCTGAGGTGTAAAAAATGGCCAGAATTTTGACAGATAGAGGGAAGGGACATTCATGATTGAGTATGAGCAAGGCCATGTGGAAGGCAAAGTTCATTGTATGTACAACATTGAGGACCTTACATATATGAGGAACTGTGCTGTTATACACAGATAAGTTCCTTGGGGCATAATAATAATATTAATAATAATAGTTATTATTATTATAACAACAACAAATACTAACAATATCCTTACCTTTATTAATAAGGAAACTGAGACACAAAAATGTTAACTATCTGACAACTTGTAGGAAGATGGAGCTAGGATATGAACCCAATCTGAGTCCATAGACCAGGTTTTTAACCACCATGCTACTGATTCATCAATATGGGAAGCCTTGAATTAAGGACTGGCATGTCCAAGGAGCAGCAAGGTGACCAGGATGGCTGGGCAAGGGCAGCAAAGATTAGAATAGTAGGAAATGAGGTCTGAGAGATGTCAGATCACGTCTGGAATTGTAAGCCACTAGAAGGACCTTAGTTCTTATTCTGAGTAAGATGAGAAGACACTGGGTGGCATTACCTGTCTTATGTTTTTAAATCATTACTTTACCTTTAGAGTTGAGAGTACATTGTAGGAAGCAAACATGAGAGCAGGGAGAAGAAATGAGATCTTCCCAGTTAGAAAAAGAATAAAGGAAAGAAATAATAAAGATCTGAAGAACAGCCTGTAGGAAAATTACAAATTAGAAGAGTGTGTAAAATCTTAAGTATACCATGGGCATTAAAGGCAGAATTTATTGTCTCATTGCTTGCTCTCAGATTACTAATTATATTTCCAAACTTATTATCTGAGTCTCTGAATCCTCTTCTTTACAAATAATAATACATACCCTCACTGATTACTACAAACATCAGTAATAAAGCCAATGATTAGGCCATACTGTATACAGTAGCAATGAAGGTCATTAATAGCCATTCCATTATCATTATCATGTGAGATGTTACAGATGCAAAACCAAGGCTCAAAGATGCTATTGGATAATTTCCCCAAAATCTCACAGAGAATTAATTGGGATGAAAACCTAGGTTTGTTGGTTTGTTTTTAAAACTAAACAACTTTATACAGCAAGGCATGGGGACAAGTCTAAAATCTGTCTCTAATGGTTTGCATTCCGGCAACAAGACAATATGCATATACTTCTTTCTTGGCATCATAGAGTTCACATGGTCAGTAGAGAAAAGAGTGACTGACTTCTCAAATGCACAAGCATCCAGACCAAATCCAGTGTGAATAAACTGAGTCAGGGAGAAGGGATCTCCTTATACATGAAAATCCAAGTATGTTTTCTCAGTTGGTGAAATCACTACCAACCCTGGGAATAGGAGGAGGGGTGAAACTTCTAATGAGACCAGACAAGGCAGTGGCTCTAGTGACCTGAAATAACTACCTGTGCTGCTTCTCTCTTCACTTTCTCAGCTGTACCTTTCTCCTTTCCTTCTGTGCCATTATTTTTCTTCTCTTCTTCTTCAAGTTTGCTGCAATCGAAGAAAAGAAGATACAAGCTAACTAAAATTCCTCTTTGGTTATGTATTTTCAGAAGAAATGAGGATCTTTCAGACCAAAGATCAGATTCTGTCTTCAGTACAAATTTATCCAGTCTATTACTCTGCCCACTAATGCAGATAAATTCACTTGTTCCCAACACCTTTTAAAAAATAAAACTAGCATTTTAAATCAGTATGTGAACATTGTGTGTTCTTTTTTCTATCAGTGAGTGACTTCATCCAATAATCTGAATAAAACCTCAATTGCCTTGATATTCTTTTTAATTGTGAAACTTTTCTTGTTTATTTAAAATAATGATCACATTGCTGATGAAAGCAAGGGATGAAACCAAGTCAGATACTGGGCCCAAAATCAAAATCAATCACATTTCACTATAATATAAAATTGTATTATTTTAATGGTATTAATATTCAAATTGAAATTCAAGTTTTAGAGTACAATAATGATTCAAGTCCAAGAAGGTTCAACAACTAATATTTTGAGGTTGATCTTGAGCCCAAGATGCTGACATGCTGCCGTTTTCTACAGCCAATGAAGCAAACTAAGGCCAGACAAAATCCTTAGCATTTATTACATCTAAGCTAGTCATCACCACACCATAAACAAATCCAGCAGGTGAATGAAGAGCCTTGATTTCTTGAACCTCAGGCCACAGTTTACTGGCCTTTCCTGTTAATCTCTCCTTTAAGGAGCTTAAATCTTATACATAAGACCAAAACAAGATGTGTGAAAAGTAAGGAACAACAACTTTGCACCTCTTTCAGCAGATTACGTAGATATTTTTCTCAACATTTATTCTAACATGAGATTTGACAGGGAATTCGCAGTCTAAGAAGAAGAACCAGAGGTGGTAATATGTCATCAGCTTCTCCTGTATTGTCGCACATAATGGAGCTCTGGTCCCACTCAGCAGAATCATGTCCCATTAGGGTCTAAACCTGGCTTCATAGATGACATTTTAATAAACATCTATGACATGGGCCTGCCTCTTAGGGGTTTAACTCTACATGAAACCACTTATCAAAGGATTTATTTCACCTGTGTACAGTAATGTTCCTGAAAGGATACATATAATTGTCTCTACTCCATTTCTTGTTCAGGTTACTTTAACAGCCTTTACAGGCTGGCTTCATAGATCTCTGTCCAAATGGTTTTCCCTTATCTGAATATACACACAGAGTTGTAAAATGTCAGGGATGGGGTGGGTGAGAGACCAAAGACGTACTCTCATCCAGATTGTCAAGAGTTTTCTCTCTTTGTTGTGAATGGCGATTCTCAAGTGTTAAAGAGATTTTGCCACTAAATTAAAGCTTAATTAGAAGATAGAAGGATTTCTGAATAGAGAATGACACTGTCACTATGTGATTCAACATTACCTAATGCCTTGTCCATGTGCTTGTAAAATTACCCAGCCTACAACCCATGGCATGTATTCTACACAATTCTGAAGAAGCTGAGACCCAGGTATGATAGAGGATGAGGGAATGCAGTGGAGTGAAGAGTGTGGATACTCACAACAGACTTGAACACATGGCACACTTGTTCCCGTGCATTCTTCCATCCGGACCTCTAACGGGGTCATTCTCCCGGGTGCATATGAGCATCCCATTCCTCACCTGGCTCCGGAATTCACTGCAGAGTTCCTGGGAAATGAAGAAAATGTTTTCTCAGAGCAGTTTTCCACCCTTCACACACGTTTGCCTATTATGAAGAATAAGTAACACAGAGTAAGAAGGAAAAATTAAAGTGATTACATATAGCAGTAAATCAGGAAGTCTTTTCAAAGCTCCTACCATGGACTCAGAGTTTTCCTGGCACAAAAATGGATCTGTAAACATATTTGTCATTCTCCTGGGTGTGCTTATCACCTAGTTGTAGAAGGCTGAAACACTGATAAAGGACAATGTGTGCGTGTGTGTATGTGTGTCGTGTTGCACGTCACAGTCTATAAGAACCATGGAAGATCACAGGTGAGAAGAATCAAAAGGTCCAGAAAGAGGAACTGAGAATATCACTGAGCCTTGATGAGAAAAAAAGATCCTTCCATTGCAACAGCTTGGATGAAACTTGAGGACACTATACTAAGTAAAATAAGTGAGACAGAGAAAGAAAAATACTGTATGATCTCACTTATATGTGGAATCTTTAAAAAAGCTAAACTCATAGAAACAGGGAGTAAAGTGATGGTTGCCAAAAGATAGGATGTGCAAGGGGGCAAATGGGGAGATGATGGTCAAAGGGTACAAACTTCCAGTTATAAGATGAATAGGCTCTGGAGATCTAACACAGAACATGGTAATTACAGTTAACAATACCGTATTATACACTTGAAAGTTGCAAAGAATAGATCTTAAATGTTATTATCACATACACACAAATGAAATTCTGTGATGTGATGGAGGTGTTAGCTACAACTACAGGGGTAATCATTTTGAAATCCACACATTGCACACCTTAAATATATGTGATGTTATATGTCAATAATATCTTAGTAAAGTTGGAAAAATAAAATAAAAATAATGTGCAAAAATATTGCTAAGTCTTGATTTGTCTTTAGAAGGCTGAGACAAAAACAAAATCATGCTCAAACTGAGAAATAAGGAAATATCTGAAATAAAGATAGAGAGAAGAGAACAAGTTTGACATTTGGAGAAGCCGATGCCTTTCTGGGGGTTCCTTGCTAAGTGGGAGATGTGGATTTAAAACAGGAGAGTAACAACAGGAGTAGAGAGAAAAAGCAATGTGATAAAATCATTTGAAAAATCTAAGGCAACTAAGCAACTGGTTAGATATAATGGATACACAAATTTTCAACCCTAAATTACCAACAAATGATGCTTGCAGTTAACAGAAAAAAAAAGTTATTGAGAAAGCGAGTCAATTTAATGGCAAACTTTTAAAATGAATCATCTTTTTCCAAATAAATTATTAGGCTTACACTTTGTAGTGATTGTTAGGGGATAAAATACATAAAAGTAAATCTTGTATATAGCTTTAATATGAGAGTAACATACCACCTAGATACAGACTTTGTTCTTGTAAAATTATAAAGTTACAAAAAATAATTAGAAAGTCAAAAATTTATAAAATAATCATTAATTTGGGGGTAAGAATAGTAGTATTTCCTTCATATTTGGGAGGTGACAAAGAACAAATATGATACTTGTGCACTTTGTTTTGTAAATTGGACTACTGTGAATGACAGAGATCTTGTACTCTCTTTTAGAAGTAATAGAGGTTTGAGTGACATAAACTGAAATTAGAAAATTTTAAAGATTGATATTAATAATCTGTACCTGACAACAGAAATATAAGAAAAGCCAAATATGGAGAATATCACTTACAAAGTAAATTAACACTCAAATTTTTACAAATGAAACCCAAAATTTGAATTCTCATGTAATAAACTCTGGAAATTTCTAATAAATACCATTTTTCCCTCAGGTTAAAGGGAAACCTTTATTCATTTCAGGCATAAAAATTGAACAGAAAAACACTAGTGCTAAGGAGATATCTAGAATGCTATTATAGAGGGGAAAAATGCCAAGGCACAGCAGAGCATTAGCATTCCTGACCAAATTACCTTGGCAGCCTCTCTTTTAGCCTTTGCTCTTGCTCGTTCTTCTTGTTGACTGTACATAATAGGGAGAAAGAAAGAGAAGAAATGGATCTTAATACAGTTGAATAGATCATTAATATTTACAAATTGATCATTCATTGCTTTGACTATTTTCAAGCAACCCTAAAGATCCAATCACAGTAGTTTGTGATTTTATTGGGTAACAAATTAGAATACTTCTATTGTACCTCTCCCCAAGAGAATGGGGTACAAGAGAAAATCCCTTAATGAGTAAATCTATTTAGCTTCCCAGCAAATATACTGCAGTAAGACTTTCTCATTGGCTGACTCTTTTGCATCTGCAATAATTCTTTATAAAGTAGTAATATTTGGCTTCTTAGAGCCAATACAGTATAGTAGTTAAGAGGAAGAACCCTGGAGACATATTGAATAAGAAACACAAAAACTGTCCCAAAATGTTTGTGGGTTCCTCATCTTTAAGTGGGAAGGTAGAGGGGGGATTAGAGAGGCAATAAGAATATTTTTCTCATAAGACTGTTGTACATGAAATGAGTTGATACATGTAAAGCAATTAGAATAAGTACCTGATCTGTAATAAAATGAATGGCAAAAGTGATATAAAATATTGGTATCATCATCACTATAATCATTATTAAAAGTTGCATTCTCCAAAAACAGGCATATGATAGAAATAAAGTGAGTGATATTCTTAACCATAACTAAAAGTATTGCAAACTTAGTTTAGTGAGTGAATCTATATTATAATTGAGTCTATAACACAATTACTCATTCATATTATATAGACAGAAAATTAAATAATTTATAAAAATGTTTTAATATGTTCCAGTAAACATAAGACTTGCTCATTAATAACATTAAAACATTTTAAAAGTTGAAAAGAATGTTTGCATATGGTTTGAAAGTGTTCAAGAAAAGACTATAGAGGGAACAATGATTCTTAAGAAAAGAAATACCTTTTGCTAACATAGCAATAAAAATTAGGTGATAAAATTTTATTTTTTTCATATGGCATTTTATAGTGATGAGAGAAAAGTATTACAATAACTCCAAAATTGTGATGTTTCTCATACTTCTTTAAAAGGAAAATGGATCTAAACTTTATCATAAATCTAAGTTGATTAAAAAAATTCAAGAAGCATTTTTTTCCCATATTGGGAAATTACCAGTAAGTAGCAGAGCTTACTGCCAGATGGTGGAACTACTTCCTTGTCACCAAAATATTAATTTAGAAGTAAAAAACATAAACTGAAACAAGCCTAACTACAGGGATATATAACTACCAGAAGTTGGTAATGGCTTTGCTAAATGATTATATCCTGTTTATACCACACAGTGAAAAATATTATCATTTTCTTCTTTTTTCCTGTGCTGATATCTCTATCATTCTCAACTTCTCTGTGCCTTTATTTTTCCATCTAAAACTTGTAGTAATACAGAACATATTTCACATCTTTGTTGTGAAGATTAAATGAGATTAGGTAGCAAAGCTCTTAGGATGTACATGATTATATATTCATTCAATAAATGTTGATTACATAGTTATGTGGACATCATCTTGACTTCCACCTAATTGATTTTCCCAAACGCAATGGGGTCAATCTTCTGGGCTGTATCGCTTTCTACCAGGGAAGACTACATGACTAAATCCAGAATCAGATACTCTGGCATATAGAAAATAAATTGGAGTATCCCTTTGGACAATGATCAAAACACTTAAAGAATACTATAGGCTTGTTTCAGGGGACACAGCATGCCATTTTTATTCTACAGTTATACTCTAATTCCCTGTAAATGGACACTGAACTCCTACACAAAAAATCAGCATTTCTGATACAGCTTTTCCTACTCTAACTGCTGTGAAGTTCATCTCTACGTTGCACTCAAAACCCATAGCTTTTATCCAGTTTAATCCTATTCTTGGAGGTCACACAAAATGAGTAGAGAGGTAGTGAATTAAAACAAAATTTCCTAAAATTTTCTGTGTACCATAGTGATGTTTACATGTAATCTCATCCATTTCCTATTTCAGCTGTTAATCCTTTAGAAAACTGAAGGCAATGAGTAAGATTATCACAGAGCATTTTCTTCTCTGAATAAAAGATTCTGAGTTATTTCTGAAATATCCTAAAAGAAATGATTGTGTATCTCTTTACATCACAATTATCCTATGAAAGAGCTCTATTTGATTTTGTGGGTGTGTGTTTTCATTTACTAAATGTGACAACCAAAATTAAATGCTGCACTGAAGAGGAAAATGTTCGAAAACTTCTCTTAGTTGCATCTCCCGGCTTCATCAGCAGTGCTGTGCTCTACTCACAAGAAGACCTCACACATGGAGCAGGTGTTGCCATGCATTTTCCCATCTGGGCCCTGGATGGGGTCATTCTCCCTGGTGCAGGGAAGTCGTCCATTCCTCAAGTAGTTACGGTATTCACTGCACAGCTCCTGTGAAATCCAGGAGGGAAGGTTGAGGTTTTAAACACAGGTTGAACCATGCTGCAAAGACAGCTGATGTTTTGACTTTTTCTTAAGTGGGGATTAGCAATTGGCTCATTTTAAAATAGTTCTTAACTTTGAAGATGTGAATATTTTCAAGTGATAAAAGCAATGTATCTTCAGGTGAAAACAGTCACATGGGCACGTGTCTATACACACAAATGAACACACACAAACTGAAACTGTCCAAATATCCCCTACAGTTTTGGGGAGTTTATGAGTTCCCTGAATGCCATCTGTCTGTCCTGGGTCCATATGCCTCTGACCTGGAGAAGGTCCCCTTACCTCAAAGGAAGCTGTTCTCTCAGATTGCCTTTTATTTCTCAATTCAGCTTCCTTCTTTTTCTTTTCTTCTTCTGCTTGACTAAAATAGAGTAATTAAGAAATAAATGAGAAAGAATCATAAAATCTCCAGATTAAAAGTGATCTCAAATATCATTTAATTGCTATGGTTATTTGTCCAGTTCCAACTATGTGTCTAAACTTTTGCTTATATAATGAAACCCTCAAAGCACATGTAGCAAAAGTACTATCTAACCATAGTAGTAGTAATAACCATAGTACTATCTAACCAAATTAATCTAACCATAATTTACAGGTAAGAAAACTAACAGACAGAATGTATCACTTTCCCAAGGACACAGAGCTAATAAATGCAGACTAAGATTGTCAACCCTAAGCCTGAGGTAATTTTCTAGCCTTTCAATATTCACAACTGTTTATCTGATTACTGCCTGCCTTTGTTTTAATCTGCCAGCCAATTATCTACCTACATATCCTTGAAATCTCATGGTAGGTCCTTTCATCCTTGAAGTCCCCAATCCAGTAGAAAGTTCCTCCTGTCTTCCAGAGCTTTCACTCACTGGCCCCACCTTCACCAATGGGATAACTTAGAACCAGCTCTGTTCACACATTTCAAGACAAAAAGTACTTGGGCATTTAAAGCTGTCAGTTTTCCCTGGCTAAGTGTGCCAAGCCTTAAAAATCCTCAGTGGACATGGTTTTTACACATTTCTCCATTTCCTCTAAATATGTTTTTATCTTCCTGTTGAAGTAGCCCTCTCCTAATTGAACATAAAAAGGAAGCACAAGGTTAATCTGAACTCTGTGCTTACATTTTCTAGAATCTCTTTGGTAATAATAATAATTATCTAGTGGAAGAGACAGATGTTAAGCACACAGTCACACATTTAAATGTACAATTGCAGACTGATTTAAAGTTCTGGTTACTTTGATAAAGAAATTTAGGGGTCAGGCGTATAGACTAAGCTTCAACAAAGCTCTCCAAGCTGACAAGATTCATGAGAGAAGTTAATGCCATGAGGCCCCAATCATTCCTTTTTCTAAATTACTTCCCTGGGTCCTGTGTGTGAATGGAGGCACTTTTTCTGCATATTGGTGTATTTGCTTTGGGGTCAGGGGTGTGATTTGGGTTGACTTCATATCCCACTCTGCACAGGTAAACTCTTTGTTCTACATCTCTTTCACTTCCACAAAAACTCAACCAGTCAGAGACTGGGCTGTAGGAATTGTTCTTTGATAATTATGATAGCGTGGAAAAAATGTGGTACAAAGTGCCACTGACAAGAAACAGACCCAACTTTAACAATGAAATATAGTAAAGCTAAAAAAATAAACATGGTGGAAGGGGGAAAACCCTCCCCCATTTTAGAGCTGCAGAGCTACTCACAAGAAGGCCTCACACATGGAACAGGTGTTGCCATGCACTTTTCCATCTGGGCCCTGGATGGGGTCATTCTCCCTGGTGCAGGGGAGTTTGCCATTCCTCACAAACTGGTGATATTCACTGCACAGTTCCTGTCAAAGTACAGAAATAAGTTGGACATACATTTCATAGAGATGTATGAAATGCCACAGATCAGAACATCTGTGTTTAAAAAAATAAATGTTATATTTCTTTAAGTCCAGGGTTTTAGTTGTGCTTCTTTCAAATGTAAAGTTCAATTCCACAAACTATGCCCATCAGCTGCTAAGAGATGGAAACAAAAATGACATACTAGGATGTCACAATATAATAAAATAAATAGACAAGTAAGTTCCGCTATAAACTAAACAGAATAAAACAAGTGTAAACAGAGAGGTAGAAGAAAGTGTGAGAACTCAAGAAGTTCAGACCATGAAATCGGATTGTGGAAACTAGGGGAGATGTGAGGGGAGGAATGACTTAAATGACACCATGGAGAGGCAATGGGATTTACTCTTGTGTAATGGATTGGGGAATGTGTGTTCTAGATTGTCAAAATAAACTGAGAGACACAAGCAGAAAACTATTAATATATGGCACATAGCAGAACATCAATTTCTGATTGCAGGTAAGAAGCCATAAAAGAAGAACAATGAGGAGGCTGAGATGTATCCTTGATCAGATATATAACAAGCTATTTGTGCATTTTAAGCAGTGTAGTATTGTGACCCAATTAATACTTTGAAACTTTACTCTGGTTGTGTTAGGAAGAACAGGTGGATAAGGGATACATCAGAACCTAGATGAAAAATGAGGAGACTTTCAATAGGTGATAATAACTTACATGGGGCTACGGAAATGAATATTGTGATATTTCAGAGGTAAAAATCATGATTTTTTTGGTGTGTGGAATCAAGGTATTTTTATCCCAACTCAGATGTGAAATTCCCAAAATTCTTCTGTAGAAAATGTACAAGTAGAATCTCTGAAAAGTGGTAAAATCAAAAGCCGGTACAGTGTGTAAGCAAAACTAGAACTCAGTTTTTTAGACTTCAGATGGTTATCTCTATTGTACATGGTTAGTCTCTGAGGCAGCAAGAATGGATCAAGTACCACAGTATTCCTGTCAATTTCATTCCCATCTTACAGGGTTAAGATTTTCTGGTTATTTTTACAGGGCAACATTCCAGCCTTTAGGCTCTTTGAAGTATGTTCAAATTATCATTCCAAGTAGAGCTCATTGTATGGATTCAACTCACAGCAAATGAAAGAACTTTTCCAGGTTCTCTCTTATTTCTTGCTTGTGCTATTTTCTTTTCTTTTGCTTCTGCTAGGCTGAATGAGAGAAAATGAGAGGAGCCATAAAACCAAACACAGAAAATGATTTCTCCACATTCCTGCATGACAAGTCTTTCCTCCCTCCTGAGGAAGAAGCAATTTTGTCCTTTTATGGCTACATACCAACGAGAAGTGACAAAACAGCTTCCAGTGTGGTAAAATACCATAACTTCTTCATAGTTTCTACTTAACATTGAAAGAAAGATAGTAATTGTGGGTCTGGAAAATTTGCTTTCTATAAATTACCTTTCTTGCCTGTGGTCAGAAAAGAAACATCATTAATGTCCATAAAGGAGATTATCAAAACTAGTACAATGGTGACATTACACCTAGAGGCTGAAAGTATCCTTAACAAAGCATATTGGCTGGCCCCCTGCTTTCACAGACAGGGGGTGAGGCAAAGAGGGCTTTGGCTTCACTTTTAGGGTATGACTATACCTAGTCGAGGTCTCTCCCCTCAAGTCTATGATCTGTCTCTCCCATCACGCTTTATTAATTCAACTTAAATGTATTACTTACTCATGGCTGTGTTATATAAAGACAAAATATAGGGTAGATTAAAAAAAAGCTATACAATGATAAACCAAATGAACCTAAAGCTGCTTTGAATAATAGGTTTTGATGGTATGCATAGTTAACTGATGGTATTTCCACCATACATAGTTACCAACTAAAGGCCATAGATTCTAAGTCTAAATCAATTACTGTATTTTTTGGAGTAGAGATGCATTTTTTCTCCCCAAATTTGGGAGGAATAATGGTTGTTAATGCTGCTGTTGAGTTCTGTGTGTGTTTACATCAGTGAAATATTATGTTACTATGTTATTAAATATTTTACCACATTTTTTGCTTTAAATTTTTTTCTATCTTCCTCCTCTAAAACATAAGTGCATCTTATGGTCTGAAAAATACTGTACTTAAACTAAGCTCAATCAAATAAACTGAGAGCAGTTCGAAATTTTGAAAGCAAACTGCCAATTCTAACTTACTGAGAAATGTTATATAAAGTAGCATTTACTTTAATTCTATGAGAGTTCATGGTTGTTTCACAGGAAACTTTAACTCTAGTAGTCAGTTTCTCCATTAAGTGCTGACTTTGGGCCCTCATGCCTCTGGAAATTGAGATACCTATAAACTTGTCTAGCAGGTTCACATATGAAATTTCAGCAGCAGAAAGAATTTGGTATTTGAATAAGCTCACACTTCTCAGAATGCTAAGAGAATGAGTGACAGGACACAGGAGTCACCTTGGACTAAACAGCTCTACGTACTTACTCCCAGTTCTGTTATTAATATTTCCAGTGTAATGCACTCAACTCTCTTCCCTGTTTCAAGCCAGTTTCCTCATCTATGAAACTAGCTGGTTCTATCAGTTTATCTGAAAGTTCCACTCTCTCCTGGACAATCAAAAGCTCTATACTCACTAGAAGGCTTGACACATAGAACACAGGTTGCCATGCATTTTCCCATCTGGACCACGGATAGGGTCATTTTCTCTGGTACAGAAAAGTACTCCATTCTTTGCACGGCCCTGAAATTCACTGCAGAGTTTCTGAATGATGAAAATGAGACAGTTTAGGTCTAGTTCTCTGCATATAAACTTTAGATGTTCTTTATCAAAAATATTGAAAAATAAAGCTTTTAGGATTTAGGATCATCCAAAAATTTGGTGATATTTGTCTCCTTGTAATATTCATTCATTTAAGTCTTCAACAACTGTATTAAGGGTATATAAATATCAGTGTGGTTTAGCTCTTTCATCACTCAAGTTAAAAGTATAAAGAATTATAATATAAAAAGCTAAGATGTGGCACAAGTCTTAATTAAAATGTGTACAAGTACAAAGGAAAGACTGATTCATGGAAGTATGGAGAAGCGATTATATCTGATTTGTATCTTTGGGATAATTTCCAGAAAGACAAGTTGGCAGAAAAGTCCCCCTGGAAGAATTAGGATATGTAAAGTCATGGAGGCATAAAGAAACATGTTATTTCAAGACATTATAGCCATGAGCATAGTGGCTAAAGAATTAGTGGGCAAAGAGAGAAAAGTCTGGGAACTGGTCAAAACAGAGACCTTGAAGATAAGTCAAAACTAGGCCACAGATGTGTGAAAGGAATATGAACTTTATTCTTAGGAAATGGAAAAATGATTACCACTTATAGCAGAAAAGAATATAACCAAATCTTTGTTTTAGAAAGACTACCCAACCAGATGAGTGGAGTATTTGAGTGAGTAGAGATGAAAGTCAGGAAAACTAGAGCAGAAAAGAAGAAAGAAAAGAAAAAAGAAAAGAAGAGAGAAAGAAAGAAAAAGAGAGAAGGAGGAAGGAGAAAAAGAAGGAAGAAATTAAAAATGAAAGATAAAAGAAGAGTTGAGGTACATTTGAGAAATAAAATTAAAAGGACTTTGTAACCTTGTACTGAGGAAGAAAGCAATTGAAAATGACACCTGGACAATAAGATGTAGAGAGACATGAAGGCAGAAGCAAGCGGGATAAGTCTGTCTGTAAGAATAAATCAAACAGGGTTACTTCATGGAATGAAATGGTCCAAATATACTCTAGGATCCCTTCAAATGTTGGATTTTCATAATGCCACTGGCTCATGGAAATATTTTCTACTCAATGAAAACAACACAGAAGAGAAATTGAATCTTGAAGACTGAGGGAAATGTTAGTGGAAGTACAGACATCAGGCAAGGTATTCATGCATCAACACAAAGGAAAGCTATTAGGTATCTGAGATAAGATGATAACACAAGGAATAAAGGCAGATAACTGGCTGAAATTTTTAAAAAGTGTGATGTAGAATGATTTTGAAGAGAGAATATTAAAATTTTTCATTGATACTGCTTTCAAAATTAAAACTTCTAAAACAACTACCATGCATTTGAAGAAAAATGCATATTGAACTTTGAACTCAGATAATGCTTTGATACATACGTTCATTTAGGAATGTGTAACTATTTTACTAATATCACTTGATTAATTTTCTACAAATAAAGCTTTAAAATTGTCATGCCATAGTTATTTTATTTTTATAAATCTTATAAAAGAAGAACTACAGCTTCCAGAACACCCATCAGCAGTGGTGGAGAAACAAACCAACACTGAAAATGCATTGTGGAGTAAAAGTCATTCCCACACACTGCAAAAATCATAACTAGACAAATCAAACTAATCCTCACCTCAATTTCTCTTTTAACTTTAATTTTTTCTTCAGTTTTCCTCACGGTTTCACCTGGTTTATTTTTTTCTTCTAAAAAACGTTGTTTTCTGGAGAAAGAAACAAAAATAAATAACTACAGATGCTTCAAATTTTCATGTTACAAAACAGTCATTTAGGTGCAAGAGGGAAAATGGCTAATATTCCTAAGTTCTTGTAAAGTTTCCAATCACCTTGAAGTCCCTTATCAAATTGAAATCTCCACTATTTTCCCAAAGAATCCTTCTTTCATTTTGCCTTCCTATATGCCATTTCCTTCCATTGTAATGATCTTTTTTTTGTCATCTTCCTCTCTTTTAAACCTGCCCAGCTTAAATTTTTCCTTCTTTAAGAAGACATCTCAGACCCCAAAGGGAAAATGAGGTCTACATCTGTCACTGTATTTTCATACTGAATATTCTCCCCTTTCGGGATGCTTTCATTTGGTCTTGCAATATATGTATGTGTGTGAGCATAGCCATAGCTTATTTCTTCTATTTGATCTTAAGATTCCTGATAATAGGGATCTTCATTCATTCATTCAAACATTGAGTTAGTAATGTTTTGGCAAGCATTAGCCTGGGCCCTGGGCATATAGTACAGTAGTACACAAAACAAACACATACCCTGTCTTTTTAGAACTTATAGCCCAATAGGGAAGATTAATAGTCAACAAGAAATAATTATCCAGTTACCAACTGCAATGGTCATTACAAAATAAAATCACTGAGTTATAAGGATTGGACTTCAGTTAGGGATTTTAGGAGGTCTTATTCAAGGAGGGATAATGATGAAATACAGACAACAGAAGAGAAGACATTAGCTGGCCATGGCTGACACACTGTCATGGGAAAGCATAAAGAAAACACTTAGAGAGTTCAAGGGTCTCAAATATGATTGTAACAATGGGATAATTACTGAAGGGAACAATTCAAGTCTTGGTACCTGCATTTCCCCTCATTTTGTATTATGACTATCTCATAGAAAGGCTTACACAACTCACAAGAGAAAGAGTTAAGAAGTGTTTTGTAATCCAGTCTTCCAACCAGAAAATAGAATCCATTTGTACTCAGAAATAGCCATCCATCATTAAGATCTACTTACTAGGTGGTGTTGTGATTTGTAGAAAACATGAAATCTTTACAAAAATTCTGAGTAACAATTCTTCACCTCAACACTGTTTTTACTCATCATTCCAATTGATCTTGACTTCACCTTCTGAGTCACTCCAAAGAAAACACATTATCTACTTACAAAATTTCAGCACACAGGGCACATTTGTTGCCATGCATTCTGCCATCAGGGCCACGGATGGGGTCACTCTCCCGTGTGCAAAAAAGTCTGCCATTCCTCACTTGGTTTTCATATTCCTTGCAAAGATCCTTTAAAAATACAAGTAATTACATTGAACACTTTTCTTCATTTTAATACACCATATGCACACCAGGGGTTCACAGTCAAAGAATGCTAGGACTCAAAGGTACTGGTGACATATAACATGTTAATGAGAATTAGTAAGAAATAGTAATTACATTGTGAAATTACTCAGTACCTATATCTGCAAGGTGGTATATTTATTAAAAGGCAAAAGAGCCTTAGACAGAATAAGGTTGAGAAGGTATTTTCTGAAAGTAGATAGTACTTATTAACTTTCAAATCTGTGAAAAAAAGATAATAGAAAAAAAAAACAAAGATCTTTCATGGAGTTCCAGCAAAATGAAGCAGCCAAGAAAAAAAAAAAGTTGCTCATGTGCAGAATGTAGAAAGCGTGAGATGAGATACTTACATGATCCTTAATATGGATCAAGTCAAAAACAATCCAAAGTAGTTGGCAAGGAAAAAAATACCCTGGTATCCAACAGCATTATGCTCACTTTAATTTGTTTTCTCCATGGATATGTACATCATATTTATAACTCTGCCTCCTTCATAGATATCGACTTCTAATCTGATAAGTGGACACCTCAGAGAGAGTGAATCTAATTTTCATTCACTCCCCAATTTAGAGAGGTAGAACATCAAGATGAATATTTACTTACAGCAACTTAACAAGGTTGTGACTTCCCCCTCATAGTCTGAGAGGTTTGTACCCAGATTTCTTGATGCCTTGGTATAGTACTTTCAAGTTTTTTTTGTGTGTGTGTGTTGAAAACTCTATTCGATGTGAGCTAAATTTACACACACACACATAATGCACATATTCCAAACTACTCTAGACTTGGAAATCTGTGTCAATAAACATATTTTGTGGTGACATATATTACTGTAATATAATCTACCCCAAAATGCTTCCCTTTAGTCTTGTCTTTAACCATGTGACCTCCATCTTCCCAGATGACCTTGTTAGCTAAGAAAACATGAACATCAAGAGTGTGGTTTGCAGTCAGAAGAAGACCTGGGCAGCTAAATTGTGCTTCGAATTCACTGGGAGTCCACAGCAAAGTCCCACCACCTTTGAAACCCCTATCCTACTACCTACACAAGGAAGTTTTTGGAACAGATACTTGTTAGGACCTTTTCTAGATCTTGAATTCTCTGATTTTTTTAATGACATATGTTTGATTAGGACACTTTAACAGAGAACCCTAATGACCTCCTAATAAGAAGATATTTAGTTTTGGAAGAGTCATGTGTGTGCTCCAAACTCCCTGGTTGTAACAATCCAGGAATACAGACACAGAAGACAGTCACCTGATAGTGATGACATGGTAGGAAAATTAATGCTCAATGATTCCCATAAGAGAAACAATGATAATTTCAGTTTATAAGTTGTGACTCATCCAAGGAAATTGTGAAGAAATACTTTTGTGAGCAACCAATTGACAGCTTAATTATGGGGCAGCTATTAAGCCATCCGGGTAAAGCAGTCCTATTCAAGATGATCATGTCCAATGACCCCACCAAAACAATGACACTAGCCGCAGCCAGGATGAGGGAAAAGCAGCTGAGATGTGATGAAAGACAAGGGAGAAGAACTCTCTGTGTCAATGGAGTAACACAATGCTGACTATCACAAAATGACACAAGGTTTTCGACTGAAATTTAACAATCACCACTAAAGAACTGAGGTTCAAATTTCACTGCGTGTTGAACATATAATTGACAACTCTGAATATTTCCTGTTTCTTAAATAAAACACTGAATACCCCCTACAGGGTGGGAAACCTGCTTCATTGAGCAGCATTATGAAGTGCAAGGTCAGGGCTTGACTACCATAAACTGCACCTGTGTCTCCCTTAAGAAAATGTGTGCCCTAAAATCCACAAAAATAGTGTACTTGTATTAGCACAAAAAGGAGCAGGATGTAGAATCCCAACCTGACAGGAGAGCAGAACTGAACCCAGAGAGAAGAGGTGACTTCCACAGTTTCACACACCCAGAGCATGACAGGACTAAGGGTAAATAAAACTCAGGTGTTCTGACTTTTCAACAGAAAGCTGGTTATTTGGCAAAAGAACTGCTATCACTGTTATTGAAAGCAGCTTTCATAACCTTGGTGATTTAAGAAATCCAGGCTACATTACCTACAATGCCTATTCTACTAACAAAATAAATAATATTTTTGTGTTGAATGGAAAAATTGAATCATCTAAAATTTTTTTTAAACTTAAAATTTAATTGTATTTTTAAAACCCCAATCTCAGCATTTGTGTGAGATTTTCTTTTAACAGAAGCAAGACCTTGATAAATATAGACTTCACTATACATAATAACCATAATGGAAAAATGAATAATTTCAAATTCTGTCAAAGAGATTATATAGAACATATACCAGTTGATGTAGTGTTCAAAAGACTCTAGAATTATTTTAAAAATTATTCTCATCTAATTTATATTATGTTATTATGTTGCATTTTTTATAATTTTTTTCAAAGCAATATTAATTTACACTAAGCCAGAGAGTCTGGTGGAAATTAAGCATAATTTAATTTGCATAAACTTTCCAACTTACATTTTTTTAAGCAAGGGGAAATTTTTATATTTTGAGCTTTAGGTGGGAAATGCTGTTTTAAAAATAAATTTAATGATTAATAGGGTAGGAATTGTCAACTTGGGGAATTGTGAAATTAAGAGAAAGAATTCAGTGTGATAATGGAAGACAAAGACATTATTAAATTAGCTCAAACATTCAAGTGTATGTTTGTTAATATTTGTAGCCACAAGAACCAAATTGTGTTGGTGGGTAATTTACCTCTTTAGCACTTCGTCGAGTTCTGGTTTCATCCTGTCGCTTACTATTTTCTTCAGCTTCCTTTAAGCTGTTAAGAAGGAAAACAGTTGGTCAGTTTATGGCTCAATCATATTTTCAGTGTCTGGTTCTGTGCTAAGCACTTTCCTGTCCTTTGCTCTAACTTGTTAAACTGATCTATTTATGTGAGACAAGCCTTTTTTTCTCTGTTTTGAATGTCTGAGCCAGAAAATTGCTAAAGATAAGGAAGGGTGTGAAACTGAGTCACCGATGGTCAATTAGAAGCTTTGTTCTCTACAGCTAGGTGGGTGTGGCTCCTTGATTGACAAATTGAAGATTCTCAGGAAAATTCCCTTCAACTGGCAGAACCAGGAGCTTTAAAACAATGCTGTGACCAGGTGAAACCAAACTGAGTATTTGAAATATTGTCATCCACACCCTTGGAATAGCTTTTTAGATCTTGCGAAGTATTTGTTTGCCTTCATGTAAAAACATCATTGTTAATAAAAGCTAGAAGAAGCTGAGTCCCACCTTTAACAGGAAGCTAAACAATAAAACAAACAAGCAAGCAAAATAAAAACAAAGACACTGAAATAGAGAACAGGGGGACAGCAACCAGAGGGGAGAGGAGAGGGAATTTAAGGGGAAAAAGGGGAGGGATTTAGAGGAACAAGTATAATGGACACAGGGACAATAACTAAGGGGGGTGGAAATGGGAGGGAGTTGGGGAGCACGGGGCAGATTGGGCTGGGATGGGAGAAATAGACAGAAAACTGTGCTTGAAAATAACTAAATAATTTTAAAAAGAAGCTGAGTTTCTAAGTCCCTTCCTATCACCTATTGTTCAATTCCTGTTTCATCCTGCATTATCTTACTTCTATACAGAAAGAAGCCAGGAGGTCCATTTTTATTTTTCTGAGAAAATTCCATACTGTTTTCCATAATGGTTGTACCAGTCTACAATCCCACCAACAGTGAACTAAGGTCCCCTTTTCCCCACACCCTCTCCAACATTTGTTGTTTGTTGCTTTGTCTATTATAGCCATCCTGACTGGTGTAAAGTGGTATCTCATTGTGGTTTTAATTTGCATCTCTCTGATAGCTAACGATATTGAGCATCTCTTCATGTGTCTCTGGATGTTCTGTATGTCCTCTTTAGAGAAGTGTCTGTTCAAGTCCTTTTCCCATTTTTTAATTGGGTTCGATGTCTTCCTAGAGTGGAGTCGTGTAAGTTCTTTGTATATTTTGGAGATTAAACCTTTGTCTGAGGTATCATTGGCAAATATGTTTTCCCATACAGCTGGTTGTCTTTTTAATTTAATACTGTTTTCTTTAGCCATGCAGAGGCTTTTTATTTTGAATCCTAAAACATCAATTTCAAAGAACCTATGCACCACAATGTTCATAGCAGCACAATTTACAATAGCCAAGAGTTGGAAGCAACCTAGGTGCCCATCAGTAAATGAATGGATACAAAAATTGTGGTACATATACACCATGGAATTTTATGCAGCAGAGAGAAAGAAGGAGCTACTACCTTTTGCAACAACATGGATGGAACTGGAAAGCATTATGCTGAGTGAAATAGGCCAGGCATTGAAGGACAAATACCATATGATCTCACCTTTGACAGGAAGCTAAAGAATAAAACAAACAAGCAAACAGAATAAAAATAAAGACGCTGAAATAGAGAACAAGTGGGCAGCGACCAGAGGGGAGAGGGAAGGGAACATAAGGGGAAAAAGGGGGAGGGATTTTGAGGAACAAGTATGAATGACACAGAGATGAGGACTGGGGGGGGAACGGGAGGGAGGGGGGAGACCGGGGGGGGGGGGGGAAGAGAAAAAAAAATGTACTTGAAAAGTAACCAAATAAAAAAATTAAATAAAAAAAATAAAGAATTAAGAATAGAACTAAAAAAAAAAAAAAAAAGAAAGAAGCCAGGAGTTAAAGAGGTCAAATTCCATTTTTTAGCTAGTGAATGAAAAGAAATAGAAAGTCGCAGATTTAGTGCAGGTTTGATCACTAAAAGCACATGTCCTCTAGATTTAAAAAAAGTATATATTAAGCAAATATCCAGTCTAGAAACCAGTGGTAATCAATGTTTTGTAAACTTGATAAGACATTCCCTTAAATTCTATAATAGTGTACTGTAATTTTTATTTTTTTATTTTTATTTTTTTTAAATTAATTTTATTTAGTTATTTTTCAAGTACAGTTTTTTGTCTATTTTTCCCATCCCAGCCTCCCCCGCCCCTTGCTCCCCACCTCCCTCCCATTTCCACCCCCCCTTAGTTCTCGTCCCTGTGTCCTTCCTATTTGTTCCTCCAAAGCCCTCCCCCTTTTCCCCCTTTTTAAAGGTGGTGTGAAGTGTATGAATATGTAACTCTTTCTCTGTCCAGGTGTTAAAGATCCCAGTGATATATATAGATAGAGCACTTAAGGCTTGCTGTCATGTGGGTTAGAGAGTCTATATCTTGTTTAACACCCAAAATATTAAACACTCATTGGACTGTATTCATACCTGGCTCTCAGTGCCCAGAGCTATGTCAGACACCCAGGGAAAGATTCACCCGACAGTCCTTCCCTATCATTAATTCCACTTTTTATGCTAAATATGAATTCAGCCACATTAGTATTATTATTGTTATTTTAAATTAGACTATCATTTTAGTAAGCCTTTATACATGTTCAAATGAAGCAATGCCTGCCAAATAACTGATCTACCTAGGTTATTCCATATGAAAGTGCTTTTTAAATTTTAAAGCATGCCTTTTCAAGACATTGTAATTAAACAAATTATAGCCTTGAATTTAATAACTAGCATAGTCACCTTGTCTTCGCCTTTTAAGAAACTTTAGCAGATGATACAAATTAAAAAGAGAAAAGCCACTCTGCCCTCACCTTCTGAAGACAAAGGATTGTATCCCTGATGAAAAGTATTCTCTCTCTGTGGAGTGGTTCGTAGGATAGCAACCAAGTGCATACTCATCAGGCTCACCCACTTGGCTCGCCTGGGGACCCTGATACTCACAACAGCTCAGCACACATCGCGCACTTATTGCCATGTGTTCTTCCATCGGGACCAAGAACTGGATCATTTTCCCTTGTGCATCCAAGTCTCCCATCCCTCACATAAGGCCGGAAAGCACTACAGACATCCTAGAGCACAGAAAGAAACTTGATAGTTACCAGTTTGATTGTAATGCTCACAATGCTATTTTCAGATTATTTTCTAGAACTCAGTGCCTTTCTGTCCAATGCATACTAGCCACCTAGAGCAGTCTTGGATGTGAAGAAGTAGCTCAGTATTGTGTAATTCAGAGTTAAGTATTGAACTCATTTACTTATTTATTCATTTATTAGTAAACATGGATAACCCACTGTGTGCTAGAACTAAGGTAGAACACTGTTATGGACCTCAACTTGCTCACCATCTCCTGGGTGACATAGATACAGATTTAAAATATGTGCTAAATGTCTTGGTGGAGGTAACCTCAGGTGACTACAAAAATGGCGCCAAACCTTGAGTTAGGAAAATCATGCAGCAGGAAAAAGTCTAGTGTGACATAGTGAGACATTCACTTCCCTCCTTGAACATCAGAGGCTCACAGAATTTTAGTGTAAAAAGAAGCTATTTCATTCAAATCATTTTTAGATATGGAAATCTGGGACAGTGTGGTTAGGTAATTTGCACAAGTGATAGTGCTGGGATTTTGAGTACTGACTGAAGTGGATGACCTTTCTCCTGCAGGTATAGTTTCCTTTTAACTAATTTTCCTTCTTTTCCTTCCTTTTCCTTCCCTCCCCTCTCCCTCCCTCATTCTCTCCTTCCCTTTTTTCCTTCCATCTTTTCATAGAAAGATGAAGTAGAGCTAAAATATCTGACATTTGTCCTCACCTGCACGGCATTGCTGCCTTCACATTCCCCTTCGTTTTTTATGCCAACTTGAGACCTGGTTTTACTGGAATTGAAAGTTAGACACAGCAGTTTAGTATTACAGAACTTTTCATCACTCAAGTGTTAACTTATCTTCATTGCTTTGTGAGTATTTGCTTTTGAAAACAGGTGTCATGTTACAATCTTTACTTCTTCTAAGGAAAGCCTATGTTTATTATTTGGAGTCAAAGGAATGAAATCACATTAATGGGCTAATAAGATTCACACCTGTAAATGTTATTTCCAGAATTTGTTTCTCTATATCCAAAGGGATCCATATCAGAATCAGAAGTGTGGGGAAAAAAGCAAAGCTTATAACTAGATATTAGATACCCTCAAGAAACTTTATTGTTGTTGATATTGTTGTTGGTTTCAATAAACAAATTTAAGTTTATATTATCTAGCATCCTATTATACCATTCTTCATTTGGGTTATGCTAACTAATATTTTGTTTTTCATGGAAAGTATATAAAGTCCTAACAATTAATCTAATTCAGTCAAATAGAACTTTAAAAGCATATCTGAAGACATCAAACCATAAATGCAGGATATACTTCTTATACTTTCTATAAAGATAAGGCAGCTTACAAATAAAGTCTTTTAAAGCAATAAAAATACAATACAAACAAGAAAAGTAAACACTAAATAATTAAAGTGATAAGTAAAGGAGTTACATAAAACTATCAGCTGTGGAAAACAAGAAAATTAAATTCTAATATAATTTCAGAAACTTCTTTTTTTTTTATGGTGTCACAAATTATATTTAAGTCTTTTTTTTTTATTTAGTTACTTTTCAAGTACATTTTTTTTATTTTTTTTAATCTATGAAACTTCTAATAGACAGAGCCAAGAATTAAATGCAATGAGCAGTGTGACTCTCGCTGTACAGTAGAAGAAGTAAGCCAGAAGGCAGGAGAGAGAAACTGTCACTGGGCCAAGAGATGTAAAGAATCTGTCACAGGATTCCCCACACATGACACAGTAGGAACTAAATGTGCAGTGTACTCGCAGTAGTGTTACAAAATGTATATCCAGTAAAAACCTGTATGTTCTTTCCATGTCTGTGTTCATGTTCTGTTGCTTTATCTGGAGCCTTGGTAAGAGTTGAAGGTATAATTTTAGAGCATATTTCTAAAAATGCAGTCATATAAGAGATCAGAGTGATTTAATTCATTTGTGCTTTGGTTGCGATGCTTATTACAAGGAGAAACAAAGCTTGCAGAAACTTGAGGACTGAATATTTATCAAATCCCTTGCAAGCCTTCTCAAATGTTGGTTGTATACTTGCAAAAACCTAGGAGCACACAATTCAAAATGAAGATCACAAGTCAGAACCTGCAAAGCAGGTATGCTATCTTGTTAGTTGAAGACAGTCAATAACCAAATTTACTATTGAGGGTGGAGAAAGAACCAAGTGGGAACAAAATATAGGACAGCAAGACACTTCAGTGATGTGGCAAAGGTTGAATAGATGGGAAGAAGTTCAATATTAAAAGTCCCAATTACCTACTCTAATACTATAAAATACTGAGCACTTAATATAAGTTGATGATTAAATAATTCTCTGTGAGAAACAATGTACTCAGAAATAGAAAATGAGTAAATAAGTGTGTGCGATATATTGTTTCTATGTACAAATATGCTTGTGTATGTACATATATAAGTATATATATATGTGCATGTGTATATATGTCTCTGTACTTCACAGAGATGATAATAACCATCTGATAATTAGCACACAAAAGTGCTTTGTAAAATACAAAGTGTTGTAAATATATTTCCTTTACATGTAGTAAAAGAAGTGGTCCTAATAATTTATGGATGACTAGCTCCCACGAATTGTTAAAGAGCATAAGAAAAAAATGTCACTTGATAATACAGAGAACAGGCTTCAGGGAGAAAGACTAATTTGAAGAATACTCACATGTTTTCAGCACACAGGTCACACCTGCTGCTGTATGTTTTCCCATCTGTGCCACAAACAGCTGCATCCTCAAGGGGGCAGATAAAGTCCCCATCTCCTTCTCCTTTCTTGAAATCAGTGCAATTCAACTGCAAGAGACATGATAAAAGAACATCAAAATATCAAGAGATAAAACATTCCTTAGGTGCATAACTAGGTTAGTTTTAAGTTCACAACAATATAACTCACTGGAGAAAAAAGAACATATGAAGGAGACCACAATGAGCTAATAAAATCATAGATAGTAAAACATGATTCAAGAACAGCAATATAATTGGATTTCAGAAGTACAGTTTCAGTATGATTTCCACCGTTTGCTATCTGTGGTAGATAAACCAAGTCACCTTTATGAAACTGAGTACTGACTGGAGTCTTTGACTACCAAATCCTGCCTGCCATTCTACAGTGGTACTGCAGATAAGTGATTTGAAAGCTCTCTATAAACCACAAGTGGCAATAAAGTTTTTATTATTCAGATTAAGGCAGTGATAAAGAGCCAGACTGCTAGGTTTATAGTTCTAACTCTGCCACTTAATGGCTGTGTGATTTGGGAAAGTTACTTAACCCTTCTGTGCTTTAGTATCCTCATTTGCAAAATGGATATATTATTGGCAAATCCTCATGATTATAAAGAGATTTAAATATATTAATACATGTACAGCATTTAAAACTGTGCCTAGTACATTGTAATGATTTATTGTTATTATTTTTTCTTGCCACTGTTGTTTTCTCTACTGATAATCAAGCCAATAAAACTAATTACCTTTTGGGAACAAAGAGAGAAATCCCTAAATTACAATGATATGACATGGACTTAGGAACAAATCTGGATGGTGACAAAAACAACTACAATGTGTAGTAACTGAAGATCAGCATTTAAATCTCAGATCAGCCACCCACCCACTTCACCTCTTTGAATTTAACTTTCCTTACCTGAAAAATGGAATTGAGGCACTATCCACACTACAGATTTATGTTGAAGAGCAAATGAATACTTATGAAACATTATTTGGCAACTCACTATTGTAAGTAACATGAACTAACTTAGAAAAGATATAGAGATAACTTAAATTTACTTTCTATCTAAAATCAAATAATAAAACTGGAGGCTTTTTAAATGATATCACATTGCAGAATAAAAGTTTTTATGTCATTATCATCATAAAAAATTTTAGTTATGGATTTGAAACATTTAAAATATAGACTTATGACTATGTGTGCCATACAATATAAATAATAAAACTAGAATGAATACAAGTGTATAATGAATTTGTAGAACAGAAGTTTACATTAAGAAACATTCCTAGAAGCCAATGAAAAGGGGAAAAAATTACAATAGAAAAGAAAAGCTAGAGAACATACCCCACTATTCATGTCATAAGGTGTAAAAAATGGAGTGAAAATAAGAAAAGTTATTTTTATTCATTCAGTTTTTCACTGATTCCTTCAAAGCCTTTACACATTCACTAGGGTCTAGGCATTCCACTAGCGGTCACACTGGCACACCCAAAAACAAAATAAAACAAAACAAACAAATACATCCTCTAAGAAACTTACCTCCTAATGGGAGGAGATAGGGAACAAACACAAATAATTTCAAATAAAACTAAGTGCTATGAGAAACAAACTGAACACTGTAGTAGTAGGTAGAAGAGTAGCTATTTTAAATACAGTGTCAAGAAAGATTTCTCTGCGGTGGTGATATTTGTGGTGACATGAGATCAATGAGAAGGAGCCAGCCTTTAAAGATCTGAGGGATGGACATTCTAGGCATAGAGAACTAACATTGCAAAGGGTTTGTGATAGGAACTAGATTGTTCTGTTCAATGGGCAGAAAGAAGAGAAGTATGTCTGGAGTATAAGGGAACAGCAGGGGAGCTGCTGGTTTTCTCTCAAAAATCATTTCTGTTGATGTCTGTTGAAACAAGGGAAGCATCAACAATATGAATCAAAATTATTCTCTTCCATGATCACTGCTGTCTCCCTCCCTCAGAACATCAACAGCAGCATACCAGGTCACAGGTGTTAGCAGAATGATGACAGCAGAGCAAAGCCCAGCTGGGAGGTGATGAGAACAGGTGCAAGCATTTATGACTCCACCTCCTCCCCCTCCAAGCCCCAAGGGCTGGTGGATCACAGCCTACAGAGAACACCTCTTCCTAATGCTGATGATTTCTGAAAGCTTGCAGATAGATTCCTGATCTGGTGGAGTGGTGGCGAACTGTATTGTGCAACACTGGTTCCGGAACCTTCAGCTGTGGGCCTACCCTTTTCCTTACTTACACTCACCAGGAGAACAACAAATGCTTGACCTTCCATATTATCTAACTCATGTTAGCAGAAAAGAACAAAACAAACTAAAGCCATTATGAAATATTACAGTAAAAATATCTGAATATTTAAGGAGTAAAACATAATAAAAATATAGTGATCTGAATAATATTCAGTGTAAACTGAAACAGAATTGTTGGAATACATATAAAATAATTTATCAAGAGTATAACTATACTTTAGAGAGATAAGGAAAGATACCTGCAATGTGAAGCAAGAAAAGTTTCTACAGGAAGACAAAAGTAAAAGTTTCAGATGTGAAAAATACTTCATGGTATTTGTGAAGTATTTATATATGAATGCTTCATGTTTACATATGAAATAAGCCAATATAAAGAATAAAAATGGGATAGATGCAAACATATAATGACTCTGTGAACTAGAAGATTAGATTAGAAAAATCTCATAGAAGACATAAAGAAAAACTAGTTTTTCCTTCCACTGTTGCTTGAAAAAAATGCACCTCTGCAATCACTGAGGGAACATGTCATATATTTCAGTTTAGGTTGAGTTCACTATTAGTGTTGCTCAAGTATTCCATACATTTGATGATATTTTGTCTAGTTGTTTATCAATTTATGTGAGTAGAGTATTAAAACTTCTAAACATTATTGTTAAATTGTCTATTTTTTCTTTTTGAGCTTCTTTAGGTACATATATGTTTATAATTGTTTTATCTCCTAAAATATTCATACAGACAAAATTATGAAATGTCCCTATTGTTTCTAATGTTATTTTGTGCTAATGTCTATTTTGTTAGATAGTAGTAACGCAAATCCCACTCCCTTATATTGGCATGGTATCACCCTTTGATCTTTCCAGACTCTTTGTCTCTTTGGATTTAAGGAGTATTTATTGGAGACAGTTTACAGTTGCTTATTAATCATATAACATTCTCTGCCTTTCAATTGGGTGTTTAAATCATTTACAATGAACGTAATTATTGATGTGGTTGTATTTATATTGCTGTTTCTACTTGTTTTCAATATGCTCTTATCCTTTTTATTTCTCCATTCTTCCACTATTGCCTTCTTTTGGGTTAAATATTTCTAATATGTCTTTTTAATTCTTTCCTATATTTTATATATTTATTGCATGTCTTTTTCTTAGTAGTTACTTTAGTGACTACAATATACATCCTAATCTATCAGTTTACTACAGATTAATCATTAATTCTGATAAAATGCATAAACTTGGCACTGGTAAAGCTCTATTTCCTCCCCCTTGCACTATAGTTATCATATGTATTATCACTATATACTCAATCAAACAGCATTATAATTGTTGCTTTATACCATATCATATTTTTAAAAGAAGCTAGTTGAAAGCAAGAAAAATAATTTTATAGAGTACTTCCTATTAACCCATATATTTATCATTTCTGATGCTTCTCTTTCTGTTGGTCATACAGAAAGAACTAATTATTTTTGTAAAGCAGGTCTGTACCAACAAATTCTCTCATATATCAGTGACACAGGGATAGCTTTTTTGCCTTAATTTTTGTAGAATAATGTTGGTAGATATAGAATGTTGGTCAACATTCTTTGCTTTCAGCACTTTAATGAGCACATCATCCCTTGCCTTCCAGCTTTCATTGTTTTAGAGAAGTCAGTTCTTAACTGTAACCTGTATATAAAATGTCAGTGGTATTTTGTCACTTTAAAAATGTTTTCTTGCTTTCATCATTTTGATCATGTTGGTCCTAGATATGAATCTCCCTGTATTTATCCTGTTTGGAACTCATAGAAATTCTTGAATGTTAAGGGTTATTTTTTCCCTTCCATTTTGACACATTTTAGGTCATTATTTCTTCAAATAAATTTTCTATTTTTCTTTTTGTTGTACTTCTAATATTTCTATTGTATTTCTATTTGTATTGTCAGGCTTGTTGTTTTCTCAAGAACTCTGTGACTTTGTTTTTCATCAGTATTTTTTTTCTTTGTACTTCACTGTTAACTTTGATCTTTCTGTAAATGTACTAATTTGTTTTTATGCAACCTCAAAGCTGCTTTTGAGCTCTTCACTAAATATTTCATTTGAGTTATTGTTCTCTTCAACTCCAGAATTTACAACTTGATATACAGTGGTATCCCAGTATTCATTGTTAATTCGTTCTGGAACTCATGATGAGTGCCAAAACTGACAAGGGGTGAGTAAGAGACAAATGATGAATGATGAAGCATTTTCTCTTTTGGGGCGGTGTCACATTTCATACAAGTTCTAGCAAGAGCAAGTGCTGAAACATTTTTTCTTGACAAAATGACATGAGTACTGGGTTTGATGAGTTCTGAAGCTGACGAGCACCGAGGTATAACTGTATATATATTTGTACACTGCTTTAGCTGAAATCCATAAGTCTTGGATTATTGTTAGAACCATTGTTATAATCCAAATATATATATTTTTTCACTGAAGAATCTATTTGTTTATTCACTGTTGTTAAATTTTTAAAGACTCTTCAAATTTGGGTCTCTTGAGTATTTGAACACTTTAAATAGCTGCTTCCAGTCTGTCTGACAAATTTAACACCTGGAGACAACTCAGTTTCTATTAACTTTTTTTTCTTGCTCCTGAGTATGGGTCATACATCCCTATTACTTGCACATTTCATATTTTATTTTGAAATCTAGACATTTTGGATGATATGTTGTAGTGATTCAGGATTTTGATTTTACTGTAAAGATTATTTTTGCTCTTTTATTTTTTGTTTGTTATCTTTGGGCTAAGTCTGTGACTTCTCATCTCATAGCTTGCAGCTGTTGATGTATCTGCTAAAAATATTTGTGGTTTTTTAAAGCATGGATTTCTAGGTTTTTTCCCTTGTATCTGTATAACTTGTGATAAGCCAGTGAGTGGATACAGTTTGTGCTCAAACACCTCAATCTAGTGGGCTACTACCTCTGCAGACAGGCCTGTGTACATTGGGGAGGGAATCCAAAGATCAGGTCATTTTTACATCTACTCCAGCATTTGTTTTCTCTTGGGATTTGTGTGTGTGAGTGTGTGTGCAAATGCTTGTGCACAGCCTATGGTCAACCAGGACTGTGTGAATTGGTTGGTCTCTCTTCTCTTGCTGCTGCCAATGTGTGGAAAACTCAGCCAGAAATGTTTGTCCCAATCATGCTTCGAACCTCAGGCCATTCTGCTTACTCTCAGTGAAGATCCTGCTTCCACTGAAAACATCTCTGAATGTGAGTTGCCTGCTACCCTAAGCCCCTTTCAACAATGGCAGTGCAGTTGCTGACCCCCAGCATTTCCTGCTTTGGTTGGTCCTCTACAACAAGGAAGCAACAGAAGTAAGATGCATCCCTTTAGCAAGAAGATCACAGACTCCCACTCTGCTAATTCAAATTTTAGCAGTTTTTCAAGGATAAGTGCTTGTCGGATGGACATAGGCTGCTCATCGATTTCCAGAGTGGTAATAATGATTGGTTTGGTCAATTTGTTTAAATTATAGTTGCATTTTGGGAAAAGATTTGCTGATTTCTTTATTCAGCCATAGTCTGCAATGTGACCACTCAGGGTCACAACTGTCTAAACCACATTAGAATAATTTAAAAGGGAAAAGTATGGGCTCATTTTACTTATAAAAATAGTTTCAAATTTTCTAAATAAATATTAGCTATCCAAATTCAACAACATATTTTAAAATGTATCAGATTTTGCTGTGTATAATGCACTGCTGTATATAGTGCACACCCACATTTTTGGCCCAGACTTTCAGGAAAAGAGTCTTTCCTTTTAGTGTTTTAATTCAATGTTTTATTTATTTAGAAACAAAATTATTATTATATTACAGGATATTATTTTGCATATGGATATTGTTTTTGCTTTCTAGAGTTACACTTTTAACACATAAGCTTAAACAAAAGAATTAAAAACATTTATATAGATGCAGAATTACTACTACCCATGTATAATATGCATTTTTATTTTTCTCTCAAAAATTTGGGCAAAGAAGTGTGCATTAGACACAGCAAAATATAGTACTATGGTTAAGTATGATTTTCCCTCAGAACACCAAAATAGTTTAACATTAGCAAATGTATCAAGAAATTTATTACATTAGTAGACTTAAAAAATCCAAAAATTATTTCAATATTCAGAAGATTAAGAACAGAAGGTAACTTCCACCTCTTGCTATAGTTTATATAAAAAAACTGCTATAGTAAGCATTATATTTAATGGAGAAATGTTAGATGTATCCCCTTTTTAGAGCGGGGAGAGAGCAGTTTGATGTTCATTATCATCACTACTGTCTAACTAGTGAACACTAGATCCTGGCCAATAATATAAAGGGAAAAAATAAAGAAGTAATAAGATTGAAAACGAAGTTATAAAATTTCTATTATCTCCTATTCTATGCAGAAAATGTGATCAACTACCAAGAAAAATACCAGAAGAATTAACAAATAAGTTAGCAGAATTTACAGAAGGTATACAGAAGTTGTTCAATATAAGATCAATCTATAGAAATCATTAGAATTTTTCTATAACAATAACCAGATAGAAATACCATAAACAACAAAATACCAATAAAAATAGCAATATACTTACAACCTTTCTAGATACTAGAAAAATTATAAAAATTAGTGGAGAATATCTTATAAATTTTATAAAGTGCACATAAATTATAGAAATTAATGAGAAATATGTTGTACTCCTGAGTTAGGCAAGTTAATATTGTAAAAAGTAAATTTTACTCAAATTAATTTATAAATTCTTTGTATCCCTAATCACATTCAGTTCCTAAACTCAACCTGGATGTTTCATAAACTCATTAACTTTTTAAATTTCTAATAACTATATAAAAACACAATCTATGCATAAGTAAATCAAATTAGAAAATGATGAACTAAGAAATGAAACTTGTCTTATTAGTTATCAAAGTAATAAACTAATCTGAACAGAATAGAGAACTCAAAAACACACATATACACATATAAATGTAATATTCTACCAAGTTGGCAGCTGAAATCAATGAGAAACATGGAATGAATCAATGAATTAAAAAACAAGTCTCTACATGAACCAAATACATTAGAGGTTAGAAATTAGTTTTTAATTTAATCTTTATTGTATTTTTTCCATTACCATTTAGTCTCCCTATACTCCCCCACCCCCTAGTAATCACCACTCTGTTGTCCTTGTCCATGAGTCCTTTTTCCTATTTGCTCAGTCCCTCCACCTCCTCACCTCCCTCAACTCCTCCCCCTGCTGTCATTCTTCTCTCCATCTGCAAGACTGGGGTGGTAGAAATAAAAACAGCGAAAGAAGTCAAATTTTGGATAAAATACTTTAAAGGCTGCCAACAACACTTACTAATAGATTGGGTGTGAGAGTTGGGAGGTGACAGAATGACACACTATTGAAGAAGAAACTGATGGTGTGAGAGGATGTCTGTAGAAGGGGAATTCTTGAATAAGCAAAGCACCTTATTCTGAGAGTGTCAGCATTAAGTTTTGGTGGGAGGAACTAAACAGAAAAAATGGGTAGATTTTTCTCTCTTAGAGTGGAGAGAAAAATAACAGAAACAAAAACAGTATAATTGCATGAATCTATTCGAACATAGACAAGGAAAACCTAAACAAATTACCTGGAAGGCCATTGGCCAAACATTTATTGTCCGAATTTATAAGTAAGTAGTCTCCTAGGGAAGCAAAATATGTAACTGTAAAAACTTTACTGAGAGGTAAAAATTCTAACTCAGGCATAAAATGTTAACATTCTTAAAATTTGTGTAATTTTATTTTTCAAAAATCCTATTTGAGTAAAATTAAGTGCATGTCTACATATGAAAACAATAATAGGTTTGTTAAGATTGGGATGTGTAGGTATTTCATTTTTTGTCATTACTTATATTTTACATTTTTAAACACCATTGATTTTTCAGTTTTTCATAAAGAGAAAAGGAAGAGGAGTGATAAAAAGAATCTTACAGCATGAGCCACTGTCTAAATGGACAAAGAAAGGCAGATTTGGAAGTTACTAGTAAAATTTCCCACCCCCCACAGATGTTGTAGAACATGAAAGCAGGTTTCTTTTGCTCAGATAAAGAATTTTTGTGGGGGTGTGCAGGGTGGAGAGGAATGAAGGGGGGAGGTAGAACAACTGTAATGGCATAATCAATAAAATATATTTTAAAAGAATTTTAAATTGACTAATTGAGGGGTGACTGTGTTATTGTTTGAAAAGTGAAACTAGGTGAGCCCTCACAAAAAATTTGATTGACTAGATTTTCGGCAGAGGCTGAGGTTCTCAGGCATTCCTAAGTAACATTGACAAGGAAGATGGTCGATTGGTTAGACCAGGGATGTTACAGTAATTTGGGAGTGTCTGCCTCAACTGATCATTTAAATTATTTGTTAGAGACTGGAAAGGAAGAAGAGAAAGAAGACACTGGAGAAGAAGCCAGCTAGGAGACACAGAGTGATGTGAGTAGTTGTCAGGGTACCTGGCGACAAGCCCAGGTTTTTCAATAATTTATCATGAGACATTGTAAGCTAGAAATTTTCTCACATCTGGACCTAAAATTTTTATTCTTTTGTATAAATAGAAAATATTCATAAATTGAAATGGTTGTATGGTAGGTTGCATTTGCGCAGCTTCTTCCATTTTACGTCATTTTTTAATTTAAAAATGTTTTAAACACAGGACACTTTTCTCAAATAAATATCAGCCTAAATCCCAATCTGAAAAATAGATGAAAACAAGCAACTTTGGTTAAATTAGGAGAACTCTCCAGATATCAGAAAAAGTAGACAACAGGAAGTAAAAGAAATAATATGAGTCCAAGGCCTGCTACACATGTTAAACACTGTAGCTGGCTTCTAAAACTTGTTTTCTCAATTGATCCACATTCCATTTCACAGATGGAACAAATGAGACTGAGAGATACATTAAATGGTCCAAGTGACAGAGACCACAAGTAAGATCTCTGAGATTTGAAATTAGTTGTATGGTCTAGCAAAGGCTCTTGTTGGAGCTAATACAGGCCAGAAGGAATGAGAAAGGACCATGGAAGGCAGACATCACACTTACTCCACCTCTTAGCATCTGTCAGGGTGCAAAATGTCTTCAGAGAGTTGGGTCATAGGCTGGGCCTACAGACTAGCTGTACCGGATATTTAGCCCACCCATGAACTAAGCCATGGTCCCTCCCTTCTTAGTAGTTCACTTCACAACAGGTATGACCTACTAATTAGGAAATGAATTGTTCTATGTAGAGTCAAACATAATCTTGAAAGTAAATATGGCAAAATGACTCCAAGAGTCCCTCACCTTTGCTGGGGCCATGGTCCTGGTGGCTCTTGCTAAGTGCCTGGCCTTTTTCTGGATTTCAGCTTCTTTTTCCCTGAAAGACAGCAAGGATTAACATACTTCAGACATGCTTTGCCCAACTTTTAAAGATAACAGTATGCATGGTAAACTTAATTTTGACTGTTCTCCTTAGCCCAGTCTGGTGGGTCAGAATGGAGATAGATATATCCAGAAATAAGCATGGGTACTGTGCACCTCTCCTCAGAACTGAAAAATATGTCAAACATGGTACTATTAGAGGCGAGAATCTCTACCTTTAACTGCATAGCAGACTACCCCCCCTTAAATACTTCCCACATCCAGGTGGTCGCCCACTTGAAAGGCACCTGTACCATTGTTGGATTGCTCTCTTTGAAAGACCTTATTAACATTGAACCCAAATCCACCTTCCTGTTTTCTCCTGGTTTCAACCTCTAAGGACCCACAGGCAAATTTAGCCATCCGAAGATAGTTTTGATGCCTCGTACAGTCTTCTTCTTTCCAGGTTAAAAAAAAGGGTTATTCCGATATAATTTACATTAGGTAATAAAAATAATAATCCAGTGAGTGACTTCAAAGTAATAAATTGCCTTACATGTCTTAAGGCATTTTACTTTTGTTTTAAATTAGTTTTCAGTAAATTTATTATTTTATAGTTTCAGTCTACTATTAAAAATCCTATGAAACAACAAGGAAACATTATAGTAAATAATACAGCTTTCGAGAGAATAAGACAGGATTCTTCAGCCTTCCCCGGGCCTCACCCTGCCTATCATCTTGCCCTGCCTTTCTGCATCTTCCCACAGTCTCTACTAGAAGCAGCACATGTGATCAGAGCTTCACAAGGCAGTATTACTGACTATGTCAATTTAACTCCCCTGACATATACCAGCCTGGAATTTAAAAAGCTAGTTTTCATATTATCTCCAATGGGTAAGCTTAGTATTGGCTTGGTGCCAGGGTTGAAGTTTTAATGTTGGTTGGGAATTGAGAATGATGTCCCTGCTCAAAAAACAAGTTAGGACACTTTGACTTGAGGTTTTGTAACTGATAACTCAAGCCATCTTCCACTTTTGGGGTGTCACTGGAAAGAAAGAAATCAAGTTAAGAAGCATTGCATAGATGTGGGTAAACTTCTGGGATACTAATTCTTTCTGACTTGCAGGTGATTGCAAGCTACAATTAACTTTTCAGTCCATCTTATCCCAGCTTAATCCTAAAGTCTGAAGACACCAGCAGCTTGCAGATCAGGGTGTATCCTATGTGAGCTCTTCCACTCGTTGGCTGCCACCAGGAAGGTTTGGAGTTATGCCCAGGGGCTGTTCTCAGTCCCCAAGGTACAATAGAGTCAGGTCTTAACAGGCCCAAGAAATTTGACTTTCCTTCTAAGTTAGTTCTTCAAAGCCAGGAAACTCAAATTGGAACTACACCCTCAAAAGAATATCAAGTTTTCTACACAGTGTTAACACTGGGCCCTCTGGGTGTTTTGGAATACCACTTGTGTGACTATTAAATCTTTCCAGATGGATGGCCCTTCTCCAACCTAATCTGGTGAGAGATGCCAGAGTGATCTACCAACTATTTTTATTTAATCCTTTTGGTTTAGAAAGATATATTTGACAGGAAATTAAAAAGAATACATTTACTGGTTCAGAGATTATCTGGTAACTCAAACACTTGAAAGAGAAATTACTCACAGTATCATTTTGCATGTGGCACATCTGCTGAGGAACCGTATTTCATCAGGACTTTTCAGAAGTTTCTTATCTTGGGGACAGAACAACTTCCCATTTTTCATCAATATCCGATATTCATTGCATGTTTCCTAAGGGAAGGATGAAAAAAAAGTTGTGTTTACTGAAACCTCATCAAAGCAAGACTGTACCTTCTAAGAACTTCCTTGAAAATATTATTTAATAAGCACAACTCCCTTTACATGGAAGACATTCACTCATTTGCTACAAATGATACAAACAAAAACTGGTAACTCTGTATTGACTACTGGAGATTGCAAATTTACTTAAATAGCATTCATCTAAATCGATTAGTGAAGTGGAAAGAACAGGACACACAGAATCAAAAGACTTGTGTTTGTATTTCAGGGTTTTCATTTACAAGTCCAATAACCTTAGCAAATTAACTTCTCAAAGGTTCACTTACCCTATCTATAAAAATAAGGGTTATAAATATACACACTTCATGGGTTTTCTGAGGATGACATATTACATGTGTGTAAAAAGACCTCAAAGAATGCCTGAGTCATATAGATTTAAACAAGTTGATTATCCTCTTCCTCCTTCTTAATTATTATTGTTTTTGTTGCTGCAGTCAGTATTATTGGAAGATGCTGATGGCACATGTAAAATACCTAGCACACAGCAGGTTACAAAGGGCTGTAAACAGGACTTGGAAAGGCTGTTGGAGGACAGAGACGAAGTGTAGTAACTGCTGGAAACTGTAGTGTGCCCACTACGCCCCGTGTAGGAGGTGCTGCAAGACACCAGCTCCTAGAAAGGCTACCAGTTGTTGAATTAAATAGTTGAAAAAAAGTTAAAAGTTGAATAAAAGGATTCATTGGTCACATATATTTGGAAAACATATTTCTAGACTCATTCCTTTTCTGAAATAAACCTCAGGTCCACTGATGTCTTATGAACAGAAATGGACAGACTCATACGGTAATGAAACTTATGTTTCCAGGCCCTTCATGGTCACATCCTGGGTGGGGCCTCGTCATTTCATACTTCCAAATTGGTGTTTTTATCTTGAAGAGCCCCCCCCACTGCAGCCACCATCACCCCATCACCACCAACATGCCTAACATTGTCAGTACCACGGGGATTGGACTGGTGAACCACCAATAGATGGGATCTATGAAAATACTGCACACTTTTCCCCAAACTTGCTTAAGCATTTCTCTTTTTCTTTTATTAATTTGGTTCACTTACCAAATTGTTGCTTTATTTTAATTTTTGGAATATTCTCTGAAACTACTATTTTACTATTCTGTATGACATGCTTTGAGACATGGAACATTTTACTTAGTTTCGGCTTTTTGTTAAATGCCAGTGACATCACTATCCCAAATTTAGGGAGGAATGTGGAAATAATTTTGAATAATATTTTGCCAGGTAATACAAATGCACCATTGATGTTAAGCTCTTAAGAAAAGACTGAGTCACATGTAGGAGTCCTTCAGTAAAATATACTGAATTAAGAAATTCATGAAAAGAAAAATTCTCACTTTTAAAGTTCTGTCCACTGTCCTTATTTTAACCTATAGTATTATTTAAAATGATTTATATTGTCTATTAGTTTTGCAAATCTACCGAACCTTTAGAGGAAGTCTTTGAAATCTAAGTTTTTGGGGGTTTTGTTTTGATTTTGCAAAAAAAAAAAAACCCTCCAAAATTTGCTTCAAGATTCTTATATTGGAAGAAAATTAAATCAAATCCTTGCTACAACTCTGACAAACACAACTTCTTCCAAAGGATTTATTGTAGAATTCTATTCAGCTTCCTATATCTTCATACTAACTATTCAATCGGTGAAACCCTTAAGAAATTACTTTGCTAGGTGCCATAGATACAGCAGTAAGTAGAAGGATCCTTGTCTAAATGTTGCTTACTGTCTAATGGGTAATGATATATCTAATTTAGCTTCTTAAACATAGAGGCAGCACTTGCAGAATGACTAATGGTAAAAAAAAAAGTAACTAAGTAATGTCAGATCAGAAATCAGCCTTGGGAAATTTTGTGAAGGGCGACCTACTAAGATATCTCTAAGTTTATTATCATTACCCAGTGATCTTATCTGAGTAGCACAGTAATAATTTCTGAAAATATAAAGACAACCAGGCCTCTTCAGATCTGTGTCTTGTCTCAAATTTTATAGTATTTTATGTCAACATTCCAAGTTACTGCTTAGCTTGCCAGGTATAAATGATTCTATAAAATCTAGACAGAAACTTTGTCATAGAATCAGAGAAGAGCCTGGTGTCTTTGTCATATAAATACATCCCTTGTGAGGCAAGTCTTAAAGAAAATGCTTCAAATAAAGATTCATAACATAAGAATGAAGCTTTAAACAGTATTTTGCAGTCGACTGAATAAGAACGTTATCAATCAGGATAATTCCCGAACTAGACATCTCCAGTGTCACAATTAGAGGAGCCTGTAGCTCCTACAGACACATTTTGTTTTTTAATAAACAGACAACCGCAACCCAGAAAGTAGGTTAAGAAACTTGTTCACAGTGTTTAATTAGTTAAGATGAGACTGAATTATGAAACAGGAAAAGCCTGTAAAAATTAAAAGCAACAGTTGAGTTTTTCTCTGGGAAAAATGTAATGTGGTCCCAGCTACCATACTAGAGAGAGTTTTGAAACAGGAGCAGATCTAGACCAAAAAGGCATCCGGAGGTAGGCCGATGACTTTCCAGCAGCTGCTCACTTTCCTTGTAACTTCCAGGCTTGGGTTCCTTTCATTTCCTTACTATTGCTGTTCTTTGTGTTTTTTCCACATCTTAGAAAAACTGCAGCCCTCTAGGGCCAACCTTTTCTGTGTCCTTCACAGGCTGAGTTATAGCTTTCTGTCTCCCATTGTCCCTCCCCAGACATCATAATAAAATGTCCCAGGGAGCTGGCATAGCTCCTTCTCTGTGTTAAAAGCACTGACAAGGTTGCTTTGGGCTTCAGAGTAACCCCCTGTGATGATAAATGGTTAAAGGTTCTTGCAGGTACTACAGTGCTGTTCTGGCTCATGTTTGTAACTTTCAACCAGCTACTGACTGAGTTTAGAAAATAAAACTTCCAGCTCCATGAGAAAGACCCAATCAATAATTTTTGTTTCCAACAAAATGCCCAAGGGCTGTGATCAGAAATATCTCCAGAGAAATAATTATTTCTTGGTGTTCTTCTTGCTTATGCCAACATGAGAAGGGGCTAAATTTAGGCTTTTACATTGCTCAGTGAAATAGAGTTTAATGGCATTAAAAACAGTCAGTGCAAAATTTTGATATATCCACCAGAAATCACCACCCATTGTCACAGACTCTGAAAGAGATTATGGCCTCAGTGAACGGTGAGGTTTACACAACACCCTTCTTTTTACCAGTATACAACATCCCATTGAGCATGCTCCTTGACTCCCCCAAAACCCCAAAATTCAGCCTTTTCTTCCTACTCCAGCACACCATGCTATCTATATCATAGAGGTTTCTGCTCTTCTCCTCCATCAGCAAACTGAGATGAAGTAACAGAGACCATGATGAAACTCTCTAGACCATTCCAGTAAGTTGTTTTTTTAAAAAAAAAAAAGTTCTAATAAAATACAGCAAGAGTATTTTTTATCATGGTTCTAATACCTTCATTGTAGAAAAGAGTCCCTTTACTGTTTTATTGCTCATGGCTTTCTTTGAAAAGTAGCATATATTTGCTGTATACATAATGTAGCACTGTTTTTAAGTCCTAAATTAATGGCATAATTTTGTGTGTGTGTGTGTGTGTGTGAGTAACTGGCCCTTTAACTTTATTTTTCAGATAGATAAAATAATTAACTTCTATAGAAAATGATTCTTTCACCATTTTTATCATTCTGAAACAAAGAGCCTCTAAGACAGAGGCAGTACAGCAACCTCCTGAGTCAGAGCCTCTGCCTGGTCTGCTATAAATTGCAAATATGTTCACTCCCTCCTCAATTCCAGATCCTTGTTCTCATGCTGGCTTCAGGGAGCACTCACCTGACTATCCCAGGAGGCACTGATACCCCCTACATACCCAGAAATGCCTATCTTCTAACCTCTTCTATTTTTCTCCTAACACTAATCATTACTTAATGTACTATATGTTTTTACTAATTTAATAGTTAATTTGTCTGTTTTCCTTCACTAAGATGTAAGCTCTATGACAGCAGGTTCTTGTCTATATATGTATTTTTTTTACTTATGAATATCTCCAGCATCTCAAACAAGGTCTGAGACATAATAGATGCTCAATAAATATTTATTGAATGAAGTACATGGGCTGACAATATACAAGATACAGCCAACCCCTTTTAACATAATGATCACAAAAAAACTTCTTTCTGCTTCTTGTGTGTGTCATGACTTTTTCAGCTGTTAAACAAAATAATACTAATTCACAGGTTTGTCTGTTTGTGGAATTATTTAAAGCAATCTTCTAACATGGCAGATTGCCTCTTGCTCACATTCATTATTATTAATGCATTTATATATGTGTGTCTGAGATTCATGCCTTGATTCACAAAGACCAGTTTTTATGTTTTTAGAAAAGCTGTTAGTACCTATCTGTATAACATGTCTGTATTACTAACATTAAGGTGTTAGCCATAAACCATTTTTCTTTAGAGATCTTGGAATGTATTCAAGGAACAGAAAAAGCAGGACTAACCTGATTTTCTTCCTCACTGGCAGCATCTGCGACAAAAAATGCAAACACCAAAGTTAAGGGAATATAAAATATTTAATAAATAGAACAAATAATCCACTCTGTGCAGTGCCTTGCTTACTTTACTGGAAATATGTTATAAAACCGCAAATTACTTTTGAACACATTAGAATTTACCAAGCATTATGCTGAGTGAAATAGGCCAGGCATTGAAGGACAAATACCATATGATCTCACCTTTGACAGGAAGCTAAAGAATAAAACAAACAAGCAAACAGAATAAAAACAAAGACGCTGAAATAGAGAACAAGTGGGCAGCGACCAGAGGGGGAGAGGGAAGGGAACTTAAGGGGAAAAAGGGGGAGGGATTTTGAGGAACAAGTATGAAAGACACAGAGATGAGGACTGGGGGGGGGGAATTGGAGGGAGGGGGGAGACCGGGTGGGGGGGGGGGGGGAAGAGAAAAAAAAAATGTACTTGAAAAGTAACTAAATAAAAAAAAAAAAAAAAGAATTTACCATGGCAAATAAAATGAGGACACTGCACTAGAAGACTGGCATATCCACTCACAATGATCCAATCACTCAGAAAGATCCAGTTACTTGGGAAAATAATATTCATACACTTTCTGACTTCCTTAAACTATCTAATTTCTAAACTCCTTTCATAGCAAAGTATGTCATACCTCTTTTTAAATTATAACATAAATATCAATTAAATTGGAAAGTACAATGTAGCATAAAATATATATCATATATACATATAAAATTAAATTTTCTGAATGCTGGTAGCACTGCCTCCTTATTACATATACAAAAATTAGAGATATGATAAAATTAAGTTTAATCGAAATCACAGACTGTAGTATACTCCCTCATTAAGAGACAGTTTTAGAGACACTTTTGTGTCTACACATTTATTCTAGGAAAATGAGCATTATTTGTTTATAATATTCTCCTGAAACTCAGTCTAGGGTTTTCTTTTAAAAGTGTAAAAGCCTCAGAGCAAGATAACTCTAAGCAATTCATGTTCTCTTCAAATTCAAGTAGAAAATGCAAAAACCTACCACTAGGTCTGATGAAAGTTTCTGTTTTTGTCAGATAGCTTCTTACCTTTTATAAGAAGTACCTTCAATCCATTTATGACTTAAAAACACAAAAATAAACCAGTAGAAGGTATTACTGCTTTAAAATAATAGATGATTGAATGTAATTTTTATTATTTTGTTTGTAAATATGCTATTAAATATATACATATATAAATGTATACCTAAATTTCAACTATCTATTATATACATAATTCCTTTTATGAATTGATATGCTCAGTAAAGGGTCAGATAAAGAAGAATCCATTAGCTTTTTAGAACTCATGTAGAACCAATAGAATGGGAATTCCTCATGGATAAAATTCAGATCATTTCAAATTACTTGCCATTTCTAACTACAACATACTGCTAATATAAAATCACATATACAATTCTTTAAAGCTGTGTGTCTGGCAAGGTATTGCAGGATTACACATACATATATAAAATCTTCAGTGCCATATATGCACTGGGTAGGGAGAGGGAGACAAGACCTCTGCTCAGGGCTTTGTGGCATGTGTCAAGAGGCTTAGGTTACATGCAAATTGCTTACCTGGGATGAGGCAAAGAGCCAAGGTCAGAAGTACTGGCACTGCGGTTACCTTCATGATGAAAATGATGTAAGTTGGTTATAGGTCTGCTCCGTGCATTGCTCACCAGCTGGTGCTCTAAGACTGAACCCGTGGGGATGCAGCTTACTTTATATATACTGGTGATACACACCCATAGCAACAGCCAACATTATAAACCAGTTGTTCAAGGTCCTGCTAGACTTAATATACCACATCAGTTTAGTTTCCATCCTTTAGGATCCTGTCAAGGGGGCAGATTTGAACAGATAATGTCTGTTTCTAAAGTAGTTCTAATACATTTTCATTATACCACCTCAAAAGGCAATAGATTGAGTCCAAGGACCTTACTCAAAGTTTAATACTCCACAGTCCTCTTTAAGAACCAAATTCCTCAGCCACATAAGACACTTTACCTTGTAGACAAACATGTTTCTAATTGGATCCCTTTCCTAAGTGAGAGGGGAGGGAAAAAGAAGACAGATTGATTGTCCTACCAGTCAGGTAAACATGTAAAGATTTCACCACTCCTGGAGAAAGCTGCTTTACAGTAAGAGAAGCTAGCAGTCTTGGTGCTTCCACCTACAGATGTTCCAAGTGTCCCCATTCAGTGTCACAGACTCAGATAAGAGAGTTGAGTGACCCTAAGAGATGACCTAGCAAACTCCTAACACTGAATACATGGGGACACTGAAACTTGGAGAAGGAGTGATGACCTTCTCCAGGACTCACAGTTTAGGTGGCAGAGGCAGAGGTGGCACTTGAAAGAAGACCACAAGGTCCACAGTTTCTCAACTCCATATACCACTTCACCATGAAAGGTTGGCAAAGGCAGATGCTTTATGAAATTAAAGTTTTTCCACACAGCACACTGCTCCCCAAGTTCCTGTTTGAAAAATTTGGCTCCATTATTTTCCCCCAAATTAATTTTATTCCTTTATTGCCTCATTACTTAGTCTCCCCAAAAAGAAATAAATAAATTAAATATTTGAAATTATAAATATATAAATGCAGCATTTTCTAGAGGAAGTATCTTCTCTTAAAAATATTTTATTTATTTATTTTTACAGAAGGGGAGGGAGGGAGGAAAAAAAGGGAGAGAAACATCAATGTGCAAGAAATACATTGATTGGTTGCCTCTTGCATGTCCCCAACTGGGGACTTGGCCTGCAACCCAGGCATGGGAATTGAACCAGTGACCTTTTGGTTAGCAGGCTGGCACTCAATCCACTGAGCCACACCAGCCAGGAGAGTATCTTCTCTTTAGTTTCTTCTTCCATTCTATAATAAGTAATACCTTTGGTCTACCAGATTATTTTACTCTAGTAGGTTAAGAGTACCCCATGAAATGCACAAAGATGACTGAAGCCAGACCCAAAACCTGATTTCAGTGCTATGCAGGGTCTCCACACCCACTGAAGGAAAGTTTTGAACTTTATGAGATCAAAACCTTTTTAGAGATTTTTCCAAAAAAGCTGATCTAAAGCAAGACAATTTGGGGATCACACGTCAACCTTCTGAATAACATCAAAGCCTAAGTATTTCTTTTACTTTTTTTAATGAAATAATTTCTTTCCTGTAAAAATGCAATCAGTGGTTTCAAGGTTAGTACTATTAGCTTTGTTTCTTTGCAATGGTTTAGTAAAATGAGTGACCTGAAAAGCAAGTTCAAATTGCATTGTGGTTATGGGATAGAAAATTGATGTTCATCATAGCTTAAAGCAGTGATTTTCAATAGGTGTGCCACAAGTAATTTTAAAACACACAATACCTGACTATTCAGTCAGGGGCACTAACCTGATATTTTCCCTCAGGTTGTCAAATAATAAAGTGACAACAGCTAACATAACATTAGCTGTCTACTGTGAATGAATCCAAGTTATACCTATTTTCTGTTAGGTTAGCACAAATTACTTTTTTGATGCGTGAAAAAATTTTAGTAATCACTTTATGTGTGCCATGAGATGGAAAAGGTTGAAAACCTCTGGCTTAATGGAAAGAGAATAGGAAATTTGTTTCTATGCCTTTCTTTGCAACAACACAGAGTAATGGAAATGAACTGGACTTTGGCATATGATAGATATGGGTCCAAATCTTTACTTAACAATTACTAGCTATGTTGCCTTGGGCAAGTCACTTATTTTTTCTCAGCCTCAGTTTCCTAATATGTAAAATAGGGATTCTATGACTACATTGTACAACTGTTGTAAGAGTTAGAGGCAATTCATCTGTGTGTGTGTATGTGTGTGTGTGTGTGTGTAAGTGTGTGTGTAATATTTAGAACAATTCCAAGCATATATGATAAACTTTCCCATGAAAGAGAGCTGGTCTTGCATTTTTAGGTTATTATAATGATATGGTTATAGTGGGGAGTTTCTGAAAAGTCAGCATGTCTTAAATGTGGACCTCAGTAGCAGATTAAGTTTCCTTAGCAGGGAATAACATCCCAAAAACATTCTGAAGGGAAATTAAAAAGTAAAGATATAAATATTCTTTTTTATTTTGTTATGCTCTAAACCACAACACCTGAAACAAATAAAAGTATTAGCCATTTATAACTTGCAAAAGTCACTGCTAGATTTCAAGCATCATTGATTCCTCATCTCCATCCGTAAAACTCTCTTCTAAATACTGACATACCAATACTAATTATTTATCTTTCATCTGTTCTGTCTGACTATATGAAATGTGTCCCAACCATACATCCTCATTATTGGTGCAATGACTTACAATAGAATTGGTGACTATGCTCTTGATGAACCCGAAATCTAGCCCAAATGGATAATATTCCCAGGAGTGGAAGTGGTGCTAGGGTGGAACAAAAGAACCAAAATATGATCACATCTCTAAAGAATCTCTGCTATGAGGAAAGGCTGAAGGAGCTGGTTTCCTCCTTGCTGGGAGTTTCTCAATGATACCCAGAACCTCCTGAAGTGATGAATAAGAGGCTTGGAACTGATAACGTCTTCCAAGAGGGAAAGGAGCCAAGAGAAGATTCAGCGAGCACCCCCAATATTAGAAGCACACATCAACTGTCTCATGACATCAGAGGTTTTTCTCCATTTCATTTCAGAAATGTTATAAATCCAGAGGTGATTCATCACATATTCTGTGAATCACTCCTTATTTCAGAGAACCTCAAAATTTAAATTCAAATGAATGGGACTGAGGCTTTAGAGAATGGGGGTTTGTGTTATCCATACACTTCTGTATTAGGTAATGAGAGTACTTTTCTTAAATTCTAACTTTCAATCATTCATCAAACATGTAAAACCCTCTCCCTTCTCATTAAAAAGAAACAGCTGAGTTACACAATGTATAAACTGTACAACTCAACATATGTATCAAGTGGCCTAGGATCTGTATTCACATCAAGGGTACTGATACAGAAAGAAGAAATGAGAAAAAGTGTGAAATAAACAAGATGTTGTAGACCAGTAATCTTACTGAAGACAAAAGGTAATTTCTTAAATTCCAAATTATCATATTATTGTTCAAATATCCTTTTTTCCTATGCAGATATATCCTTGCTGATCACAATAGTTTAATAAATACCTATAGTCCCTTAAAATCAAATCACCTTCCACATTTTCCAAACTATCTGCCATTCAGTGGTTCCCTAGATTTGGTTACACAATACTGTGAGGTGGCGGAGTAGGTGTTATTATCCTTTCCTTGCCTGCCCAAAATGGTTGGTACTAGGAACAAACACCAGAGTAGGAATTAGGTTGGGTGGCAATCCCAGATTTGACAATTTCCTACATTTTACAACCTATGTGGTTACCTCAGAGCCTTTCTGGCAGTTCAGGTAGAATCCAGACATAGAGCTTTAAAGTACCTTCAACATTCTATTACTAATATCATTCTTTCCTAAAACCCCCTGAATGCACACACTCACACACATATCCACATACACATGCACACTTGTAATGACTTGGGGGAAAATAAGTACCCTGTGATCATGACTGAAAAGTTTGTGTCCCGATAGATCTTAGAAGATGAGGCAATTGCTTTTTAATTTTCTTAATTTTTCATTATCTTTCCTATAAGTCTGATGTTTTTCCCTATAAATTTAATATTTCACTGTATTCTCATTTATGGAAGACACTAACTTGAGAACAGTCTTTACATGCCTTAGTCTTTTAAAATGTTCCATTAACAGCTCACTTCATTCCTTCTGAGAATTCCTTTCTGTTCGTCTAGAAAGGATAAGAAAACATGGAGATAAGCATAAAAATAAAGGGGGGAAGGAGAGAGGGAGAGAAACATCATGATGCCTTGGCGTCCCTGCTGGGCCCCACATCTCATTTTATTAAGAACAGGATGGGATGGGCACTTTTTGATGACTGAGTATACAGACCCTGCTATTTATAGATATAATTGTTGCTTTTATTAGATTAAGAAAACACAAAAGTTCATTGTTTTTGACTATATTGAGTTTTTACATATTGATTTATATTTGGTTCTTAAACACAACATCCAGCTCCTCCCTACAGTTCATACTACTTGGACCCTGCTCTCCTGCTGGGAGCCCCTGCTGCCCATCACAGCACACTATAAAGTTCTCTAGGGTTAATCTTAACTGCAGAAAACAGGTTTGTGGAGCTATGTTTTTTAATCATAATAAATTCTTAGCTGGTATACTGAATTTTGGCAAAAGAATACTATATATTTTATATGTAAAATATTTATATGTGTATATATAATAAGCAAGATCAAAATTGTTAGATCCATAAGTAAAATTAGGAAGGAATGATCTATATATCTATATGATTTGCATATAAATGTGAAACTCGCTAGCATTTATGGTGCACTTACTAAGTGACAGGCACAACAATAAGCTGAAAGGGTATCACTGTATTTTTTTTACAGATAGAGAGATTGCAGTTTGGTGGGATTCTAAAACTTTCTCGATGTTATACAACATGTGAGCAGGGGTGTATACAAATGGTGACGTCGATGCAAATAATGGCAGTCAAACCCTAGAGTCCAGATTCTTACCTACCAAGCATTATGGTGATCACATTGTACCTATGACTAACTTATCTCAGATACTCAGTGTTGGGACTGAAACATACTCCTTCAAAATTCATATTTGCAACCTT